GGGGAGATTCTAACTTCCAGAGTGGTCACATTACAATATTCAAAACGTCCAGTTTACAACAAAAAATTAAGAGGCTTGTCGCCGAGGCCGGTTTGGCTCAAGGGATAGAGCGTCGGCTTGGGGACTGAAAGGTCCCGGGTTCGATTCCGGTCAAGGGCATGTACCTTGGTTGTGGGCATATCCCCAGTAGGGGGTGTGCAAGAGGCAGCTGATCGATGACTCTCTCTCATCGATGTTTCTAACTCTATCTCTCTCCCTTCCTCCTTGTACAAAATCAATAAAATATATTTTAAAAAATTAAGAGGAATGCAGAGAAAGGATGTCCCATTCACAGGAGAGAGGGGAGAAAAAAGGAACTTAATAGAAACTTTCGCTGAGAACACTCAGACTTTGGACTTAATAGTCAAAAACTTCAATTAACTGTCTTAAATATGCTCAAAGAATTTAAGGAAAGGAGAACAACATCTCACCATAAAGAGGATATCAATAAAGAGACAGAAATTATAAAAAGGGACCAAGTAGAAATTCTGGAATTGAAAAGTACAATAATTAGAGAGGGGTCAACAGCAGATATAATGAGGCAAAATGAAGAATCAGCAAACTTAAAGATGTTAATTGAGATTATCCAGTTTGGGGTGCAGAAAGAAAAAAAAAATAAGAAAAATGAGCAGAGATTAAGAAACCTGTGGGACACCATCAAATGGACCAACTCATGCATAATGTGAGCCCTAAAGGAGAGGGAGAGGGAGGCAGAAAGAATATTTGAAAAAATACTGACACAAAACTGCCCAAACTTGATGAAAGATATGAATCTATACATACAAAAAGCTCAATAAATTCCAAGTAGGATAAACTAAAAGATCCACACTGAAACCCATTATAATTAAACTGTGAAGACAAAGAGAGAATCTTAAAAGCAGTGAGAGACAAGTGGCTTGTCTACACAAAGGCTCTTCGATATGATTAACAACCAATTTCTCATCAGAAACCATAAAAGCCAGAAGGCAGTAGGGTGACATATTTAAAGTAGTGAAAGGAAAGAAAGTTGTCAAACAAGAATTCTATATCTGGCAAAATCATTCTTCAAAAATAAAAGGCAAACTAAGACATTTCAGACAAACAAATGCTGAGTTTGTCATTTGTTGACTTGCCCTACAAGATATGCTAAAAGTAGTCAGCTAAAATTAAAGAGCACTAGACAGTAATTCAAAGCCACACAAAAAATAAAGGAGTTTGATAAAAGTAACCACATATGTAATTATAAGTCAGATTTCTGTTATTTTTGGTTTGTAACTCCTCTTTTTCCCAATAGGATTTGAAAAACAAGTGTATAAAACAACAATTACAAATCTATGTTAAATGGGCACACAGTATACAGAAATATAATTTCTGATAATAACAATACAAAGAGAGGAATGAAGCTGAATAGGAGCAAAGTTTTTATATACCACTGAAGCTAAGTTGGTGTTAAGTCCCACTAGATTGTTATAAATATAAGACATTATTTGCAAAGCCTAAGGTAACCACTAAAAAAAGTGTATATATACAGAAGAAGAAGTGAAAAGAAAATCAAAACAGTACACTGGTGTGGGGGAGATCAATTAAACATACATGAAGGCAGTAATAGAGGAACTTAGGGGAAAAGATATGACTTACTGAAAATAGCCAAATGGCAGAAATAGATGGAAATGAACAAAACTCTCAACAGGTTGAGGTTAGCAGAATAGGTTTAAAAATAAGATCCATTTATATGCTACCTACAAGACACTCACTTTCGATCCAAAGTTACAAATGCGTGGAAAGTGAAAGGGCAGAAAAACACATATTCCACGCAAATAATAACCAAAGAAGAGCTGGGATGGCTAGGCTAATATCTGGACAAATGTACTTCAAGTCAAAAGTGTTACAAGAGACAAAGGACCTTATATTTTAATAAATGAGTCAATCCAACCGTTATCAGCAGCCCACACATTTATCTTCAAAACACCCTTTGCCCAGGATGCGGAGCAAAGTACACCCAGTCCCTATGCTGGCACCATGGAGGGGAAATCATATCCCACTGAGGCCCAGCCCTCACTGAGTTCTCTGAAGAAGGGGGTCATGTGCACCACAGATCTCTGGGTTCTTGCAAGCACCAGCTAATCTTGCTGCCTGGGACAAGCCGCTCCTCCAGGCACTTCAGTCCCCTATCTGTATGTGAGGGACTATCACAAAAGCCTAAGAGCCTTCTCCAACATCCCATTACCACGGCAGGCAGAACAAAAGCCTTCCCCATCCCCAAACCCCCTCCCAGCCCACTCCATCCCCCGGGACTCCTGCTCTCACAGTTCCAGCATAGGCATCCTTGCTGTGCTTCTCCCACTTCAGTCTGGTAACTCCTCGAGGGCTCGGAGCAGTCAGTTTATCTCTGCATCCTTTGTGCCTAGTCTGGTACAGAGAAGAGGCTTGGTGCCACTTTTCTTGGTGAGTGAGAACTCGGCTGGAGGAGGCAGCTTTGGGCAAGAGAGGAATCTTCAGGCACCTCCACCCCACGCCAGAAGCTGTCAACACGACAGGTGAGCCCAGACTGCCCCAGGGCCCCTAGGAAAGAGCCCATGCTCTGCAGATGTCACCTCGCAGGGCCAGGCTGACCTCCTTCCTAGATCACCTCCCTGTGCCCTGCACAGCTGCCCCCTCACCACCATGGCTCCCTGGCCTGTGTGGGCCTGCACAGCTTATGTCTAAAGTCCTTGCTCTGGGCATCAATTCCTTCCCCTGTGATAAGCATGCAGATCCCTACCTCACAGCCCTATGGCAATAACATAGGTCATGTATAGAGAGTGCCTACGGACCAATGTGGATGCTACTTTTGAAGAATTAGAACTCTCCACAAATGAAAAGACTCTTCCATGTTCGGGATTATGGGAGTGTTCCCTGTGCCTGGGACCCTGTGGGGTTAGGAAAGGTGTGTGGATCTCTGCAACTGAGTGTCTCCACATGGGGACGCTCTACACCTGGGAGAGAAGCATCATCTCCTTTGAGATTTTTATCCTAAATACAGTGTGAGAGAGAACCAGATGGAGAATTCTCACACAGGAACACCACCGATGTGATTTTATTGGTCGTCGTCAACACCCAGCTAATGTTCACAAGCTGTCCAGCACTGGGTTGAGCAGTGTGGATGCACTAATCCAGTGGTCGGCAAACTGCGGCTCTCAAGCCACATGTGGCTCTTTGGCCCCTTGAGTGTGGCTCTTCCACAAAAATACCAAGCCCTGGGTGAGTCTCTTTTGAAGAAGTGGCGTTAGAAGAAGTTTAAGTTTAAAAAATGTGGCTCTCAAAAGAAATTCCGATTCTTGCACTGTTGATATTTGGCTCTGTTGACTAATGAGTTTGCCGACCACGGCACTATGCCATTTCCCTCTCAGCCTCCCTTTAAGCAGGTTCCACTGTCTGCCCTAGCCCCTCGGACCAAATGAGGTGCAGTGGCATTCATTCCCTCAGCACAGGGCGCCATCTGTGAGTGGGCCGGGCTGGGCCGGGCTGAGGAGACAGTGGGGAGCAGGAGCCCTCCCCGGCCCCCATGAGCAGGGGGAGAAGGTGGGGTGACAGGAATCTACCAGGAGCAGAGCAGGGAAGGCTCCCAAAGGGAGCCAAGGCCCCGGGGAGCCGGAGGGGAAGTCAGCCAGGACGAGGGGACACAGGCTTTGATGGAACCCCTCAGGGCATGTCACCTTCCCAACAACCGTCCCAGGGAAGGAGGGTGTGTCCTGGTGTTGCAGATGGGGAAACTGAGGCTCGGGAAGGCTGGAGACGGAGCCCGGTGAGTGGGCTCTGCGTGTGGCACCGTCTGTGTAGAAGGCTGGCTCCCCAGAGTTGGGACCATTTCTAGGACCAAATAAGTCTCAGAAACGTACCTTCTGCCTTGCTGTGTGAGGGGTGGGCAGTGCTCCCAGCAGAGGCTGCCGGCGGGGTGAGGCGGGCCAGTGCTCAGAGGGGACAGTCAGCCAGAGGTCTGCCTCAGAGGCCCCTGAGGGCAAACACCCTTGGAGGCTGTGGGGGGCCCAAGCGCTCCCTCTGGGGGCTCTGCGTGCCCCCACCCGCCCAGCCCCAGCTGTAGCACAGGCCCTGGCATACAGCAGGCCCTCAGAGACAGCGGCCTCTCTTCTTTCATTGCTCCTGGCTGTCCCTGATGGGCCTTCGAGCAGACTCTCGGGCCAGGGGACCAAGGGGCTTCCGAGAGGGTCTGTCCTGATTCTGCCCTGACGCCTGCTTCTCTCACACCCAGCCCGCAGGCGCACACAAAAGCACACAGCCTCAGAACAGGCGGCCCGCCGGCCTCTGGCGGTCCCAGAGGACAGCCCGCCACCAGCCCTCCCTGAGGCCTGGGGCCAGGCCCACCTGGCTCCGGGCCCACATTCCTGGCTCTGGAGACCAGGAGCTCATTAGAGCCTCAGGCCGGTCACGGGGAAGAGCTAGGGGTCAGGGGCCACTGCAGCCCTGGGCAGGGAGCGGGGCGGAAGGACTCCGCCGGAGACAGCACCTCTGCTTCTCCCCCATGTTACCCCCGGGGCCTCCAGCTCCCGCCATGGCATCCTCAACACACCGCTCCCGGTCAGGGTCAAGGTCCTTCCTAGTCTGGCACCCGTCAACCTGCTAAGCTCCTCTTGCCTTCCGCCAAGGGCTTTCCCATATTGGACCTTTGCACACGCTGTTCCACTGCCTGGAATGTCTGGCGACTCGGAGAGGCAGGTGAATAAATAACTTCTACCCGGTGAGAAAGGGGAGTCCCAAAAGACACATCAGAGGGAGGGATTCCAGACTGGGCCCGACAGTCGGGGAATGTTTCACCGCTGGGTTTTGAAGCATAGATAGGAGTTTGCTGAAAGCAAGGATTGGGAAGGGTGTGCCACAGGGAAGCATAGGCACGAGAGAATATGGGACAAGATACGATGAGGACCCCAACAGGGTTATTCCTGGCACAGAAGGATGAAGGCCCATGGGGTGCAGAGAGCACTCACCTGCTGAAGAATCACCATTGTCCTTCGTCAGACGCTCCTGCTGCCCGCCTGGCCAGACACAGCTCTGCAGGGAGAGATCCTGTCAAATGTCGGAGCAGGCCAGCATGTGTCAGCCCTGCACCTGGCAGGGGTCCCCTGGGCTCCTCCCAATGCCACAGCCCCCTCCTGCCTCCAGGGAACCCTCCAGGCTCTCTCCCTCCGGTGGCAGCCCAGGCCCTGTGACCCAAGCCTCAGCCACCATCACAGCTCTATTGTCCCGAGCAGCTGAGCTCCTCTCTGGGTCACTGTTATTCAGAGATTCCAAAAGGCTCCTAAGAAGTAGCGAGTCTGCACCTCTTACCTGGACATTTGGGCAAAGGGGCCCAGAGAGGGACCAAGACCTGCCTAAGTTCACACGGCTGGACAGGGCATGTTAGGGTGGGGGCTTGGTCTCAGGCCTCCCAGCTGGGGGCTGCCCCAGGAGTGTGAGTGACAGGGATGACCTGGCCCAAGGGGAGGGTCATGAGCTGACCTGCCAGAATCCCCCCCGAGTGCCCCTGCCATCAGGATGGAGGCTCCAAGCCCCCCAGTCTGGCTCTTAAGGCCCCACACCCTGGGTCTGTTGCTGATGTCTGTCATCCGTTTTCTTCCTTGCTCGGCCCTGCACTGGGATCGTCCTCAGCACTCACTATTCCTAAAATGCACCGGCTCTTTTCTTTTCTTTTTAAATATATTTTATTGATTTTTTACAGAGAGGAAGAGAGAGGGATAGAGAGTTAGAAACATCGATGAGAGAGAATCATCGATCAGCTGCCTCTTGCACACCTCCTACTGGGGATGTGCTCGCAACCAAGGTCCATGCCCTTGACTGGAATCAAACCCGGGACCTTTCAGTCCGCAGGCCGATGCTCTATCCACTGAGCCAAACCGGTTTTGGCATCAGCCCTTTTCTTACCTCCTGGCCGTGGCATCTACTGGCCCCTCCACCTGGAATTCCGGCTAGTCAATTCCTGTGCTCTGTGCAGATGTTGCCTCCTCTGGGAAGCCCTCCCAGACCACCCCCAGGCTGTGGAGAGTCCTGATATTTCCCTCTGTCCACCCCTGATTCCACGTGTTATGTGATCCGGTTGGGGTCCGTCCCCACCTCTGACCCCAACGTCAGAGAGCTGACCCAGAGCAGGGCGTGGGTTCAGCCGTCGCCTCGCACGGCACGGGGCCAGGCCCGGAGATGACTCGGGAAGGACTTGAGGGACTGAGTGTGGTGATTCAAGGCGGCCCAGCCCCAGGCCCGCCCTGGCACGCGGCCCTCCGGCCCCCCGCCTGCCCCCAGGATGAGCATCAATTTTTCACGAGGCCCATTCAGAGGCACTGGGGCATCCGATCCTCTGCCCATGACACTCCTGACACCCGAGCCCTGAGCCCTGCCCTGGCGCCCTGGGACACAGCGGGCACACCGCCCTCCCAGAGGCGGCACTGGGCCCGGGCGTCTGGCAGGGAAGGGATTCAGCAAAGCCGCCAGGCGGCCGCCACGGGCATTGGTCTGAAGAGGAAGCCTGGCCGCGGGCTGGCACCCCGAGCCAGCACGAGCCTGGGGCAGAACCAGGGTTTTCGTTAAGACTCGGGGCCTCAGAGGAGGGCATAGACGCTAAGGGCCACCCATAAGGAAAAAAACACAAGATCAACATTTTTTCTTCTTCTAAAAAAGACTACCAGTCCGTGTGCAAGTTAACTGCTTTGCAAAGTGAGAGCGGGGAACACAGAGCTCCTTTTCTATTTCTATCCCGTCCCTGGCTTACTTCATCCTCACAGCAGCCCTGGCTGGTGGCTTCACGGTCCCATTTCACAGATGGGAACTCAGAGGAAGGAAGTGACTTATCTGAGGAGAGAGATGAAGAAAGAGATAAAATGTAGGAGAAAGGCCAAAGGGGACAGAGACAGGGATGAAGCTTGCTCTCTCTCTTTCTCTTTCTCTCTCTCTCTCTCTCTCACCCCTCCCCCCCTAGCCCCAGCATGGCTGCTCCCTGCCCCAGACCTGGCAGAGACAATTCAATGAGCACCATGCCCCTGGCTCTTCCCATTTCCAGGGTCTAAGCCTCCATCTCACCAGGCTCAGGGCCCTTTCATGTGACAGCTGCTGTGGCTGAGCCCCCAGAGGTGGCAGGAGGCCTATACCAGGAGCAAATGACTGCGGTTCCAGGGGCTCCAGGGTGGCCCAAGCCCAGGACACCCCCCGAAGCCCAGCAAACCCTCCTCCCCATGCCCGGGACAGGGGCAGCCCACGCTTACCGGGCTCCGGACTGCCACCTGCTCGGAGGGCCGGGGAAGCTGGGGTCAAAGGTCTGCGGCAATCTGTAGACACGTGCCCTCCTCCTCTGTCCTGCTCCAAAACTTGCTCCGGGGGCCTCTCTGGGTCTTTGGGTTTTCACTCTGTGACCCTCTCTCCCTCCAGCCTCTCCCTCTCTTTCCTGCCCAGGTCGGCTGTCCAGCCGCTCTGCTGCCCTCTCCTCCTTTCTCCAGAGCCTTCCCCCAGGAGGCGGAGTCCGAGGGGCCTGGGAGGCCTGGGTGCCATGACATCAGCGTGGGGGGCGGGCTGTGCTGCCCAGGGCCCGTGCGGAGCGTTGGCCGCCCGGAGGGAGGCAGGGCAAGGGGTCTCTCTGGGCGGTGCCGGGGCCAGTGTGCACCAGGCTGTGACCGCTCACCCCGGCCTCAGGTGCCTCCTATCAGTAATAACACCACCTGCCCTCCCCCGGCCCGGGGCAGGGTTTGCTGGGTCCTGGCCCCTGCCTTCCTCCGCCAAGCCTGTTGTGTCTTCCATACGCGGCTGTTTGAGAGGAAATAAAGGCAAACCCCACGTTCTAGCCCTTTCTCCCTCATCCTGGGCACACAGTCTCACCGGGCCCCTCCCGGAGGGCTCCCCTCAGACGTGTCCCCCCGAAGCTCCTCACCTCACCACGCCCCCAGCTGCTGGGAGGAGGGGCAGGATGGTGTCTGTGATCATGCAGGAAGCTCTCTCAGCCCAGCACACAGCCAGGACACATTCAGAGCAAAGTGAACCGTGTGATTTAATATATATATATATATATATATATATATATATATATATATATATATATATATATATTATTGATTTTTCAGAGAGGAAGGGAGAGGGATAAAGAGCTAGAAACATCGATAGGAGAAAAACATCAATCAGCTTGCACACCCCCTACCGCGGATGTGCCTGCAACCAATGTACATGCCCTTGCCCGGAATCAAACCTGGGACCTTTCAGTCCGCGCAGACCGACGCTCTATCCACTGAGCCAAACCGGTTTTGGCAACCGGTTTGAAGTGAGGGGCACAGGGGCAGATAAACGAGGAGGAGCCCGAGGATGTCACTGTTAGCACTGGACGGGGACAGGGCACTCGGCTGGTCCTGCACTTCCTCACCACCACCTTTGCCTGCAGCCACCGTCTTCAGGGGCAGCTCTCGGCCTGGGCGGAGGGAGGCGCTCTTTGGGTGCCCAGCCTCTGTAACTGAGGCAAGGCTGGCAGGCCGGGGCCACTCCAAAGATGGGGTGCCCGTCCACAGGATCCAGTGGTCCAAGTGCGCCACCTGCTGGGCACAGGCATGGCGGCCCATGGCGCCCCCTTGGGAGGCAGGCTGAGCATCCAGCTTTTACCCGAGAAGCCAAGTGGGGGACTCAGCCGCTGAAGAGGCCGGGACTTCCTCTGGCCCAGCAGTCCTGGCCCTCAGAGGCCCCCCTGGATGCCGGAGTATGCTTGGCCAGGCGGCCCTCGCAGGAACTGCCTCGAACATGGTCCCCACTCCTAGACTCAGTACCTGCCACTTCTCCATCACCTCTCCACTGAGCCGGGCTGGGCAGGCAAGGGCATCAGCCCTGCACAGACAGGAAAACTGGACCCCAAAAGGCACAAGATGTGAGCCGTGAGGTGGGGGAGGGGGGAGTGAGGAGCCAGGGAGGGGTGATCTCCAGATGCCGTAACAGCCACGATGCATTCAGCATCTGCTAAGGGCCAGGCTCTGCGCTGAGGTGGGCACAAGATTCATAATGTCGCCAAAGCCAGTTTGACTCAGTGGATAGAGCATCAGCCTGCGGACTAAAGGGTCCCAGGTTCAATTCTGCTCAAGAGCATGTACCTTGGTTGTGGGCGCATCCCCAGTGGGGGGTGTGCAAGAGGCAGCTTGTTGACGTTTCTCTCATCGATGTTTATAACTCTCTCTCTCCCTTCCTCTCTGTAAAACATCAATAATAGCCGAAATCGGTTTGGCTCAATGGATAGAGCGTCGGCTTGGGGACTGAAGGGTCCCGGGTTCGATTCCGGTCAAGGGCATGTACCTTGGTTGCGGGCATATCCCCAGTAGGGGGTGTGCAAGAGGCAGCTGATAGATGACTCTCTCATCGATGTTTCTAACTCTGTATCTCTCTCCCTTCCTCTCTGTACAAAACCAATAAAATATATATATTTTAAAATCAATAATATATATATATTTTTTTAAATTTTTTAAAAATCATAATGTCCTTTTCTCCATGGCCCACTGGGGAAATCTAGGGATTGGCCTTAATTCATTTGTGCTTCTCACTCTTCACCCCAAACCAAGCACCGACTCTGTCCACTCTATCTCCACAATCTGTCCTGTTTCTCCCCACCACCCCTAGCTTCCTGGCTCAAGCTGCTCGCTCTGCTCTGCCCACATCCGCCTGCACCCTCAAACGCCCCGTCTCCTCTGTCTAAAGCCCTTCATACGGCTGCTCCTTCCCTCACAACTGGATCTAACCTTCCTGCCCCTGCAACTCCCACACCACCTTATAGGAACTCTCCGTGGGACGCGGTCCCGGTCAGAGTACCTCTGTTGGCCTTCCCACTCGCGCAGGGACTGTGGCTGGGTCAGGGCCAGCTGAGGGAACAGCTGAGGGACCTCAGCTCAGAGCGGCAACGGGCAGGCAGCGGGGTCCAGCCTTGGCTAGAACGCCCAGGCCCTCCCTCTCGTTGTCTCTGACCAGAGAACAGGCACCGGGGCCTGAGAAATAGTCCCTCCGTCATCCCTAATCCCCAGAGGGACAGACGGACACAGGGTGGTCTTTCTGAGATTGTGGTCACATTTATTCTGAGAACAGAACAGGTCTCCCTGGCCCCGTGGTGGGCCCTGAGGGGAGTGAAGCCCAGATGGGGGAGGAGGGGGTGTGGACCGGAGGCCTGGCCCACCCGCCAACGGAGACAGGCCCCTGTGGACGGAGGGAGCCTCAGGCGCACGGAGCAACTGTTCTCCCCACCCGCCTCCGGTCCCAGCCCAGAACGCCACCTTCACCTGTCCTGCGCCCAAGACTTCCGGGAACCAAGGTCCCCCACACACCCAGGATCCAGCCTGGCCCACCCCGGGGAGCAGAGAGCAAGGGCAGGGTTACTGAACAAGTCCTGTGGGGGGCAGGGCTGGAGCCCATGGCCTGCCAGATGGTCCTGGTTTGACCCAAGGCCCAGGTGGACACAGCGGAGAACAGACCCATGTGTCCGTCCCAGAGGCCCCATGCTGGCTTCTCCGGCCCCTGCTTCTCCACCCCGACTCAGAGCAGTGTGCATGTGAAACAGACAGAAGAGAAGTGATTACATGAGAGGGTACAGTGTTACATGAGAGTGCACGCATACAGAGACAGAGAACGGGTGTGGTTTTGCCCTTAGGCAGCACTTGTCCGTGAGCGTGCTGGCAGACAGGAGTCGCGGGCCCCATGTTGCAGGAGGGGCCGTCGAGGCACAGGAGGTGGGAGGATTTGCTCCTGGTCATCGGCAGGGTCCGGGCCCCAGGCCCAGGCTCTCGAGAAGACGGTGCAGCGTGCCCAGCGAGTCCTCGCGTCCTCTCGTCCTCCTGGTTGTGTGGTTCGCGGCCCTCACGCGGCCGGGGGCCCCGACACAGGAGCAGAGCTGGCCACAGGGTGAGGAGGCAAAGGCGGGTGTGCAGCGCCTCCGGCCAGGGCGCTGGGGCGGGGATTCGGTTTCCGAAGGACTTCCCAGCAAGCCACAGGCAGGGCGTTCTGGAGCCGGCTGAACGCTTTTATGTACGCTGCCTGGTCTGGAGCCCGGGAAGGGCTGAGAGAGACCCTAAGCGGGTCACACAGCGCCCGCACGATTGGTGCCAACTTACAAAACATCAAGGTACAACACACCCTCCTCTTCATCCACCCCCAAACCCCTTCTGAGAAGGTCTGGCTTCTCCTTACCCCTCCACAAATCGGAACCAGAATAAAATCAGCCCAGCCGGTGTGGCTCAGCAATTGAGCATCGACCCAGGAACCAAGAGGTCACTGGCTCCATTCCTAGTCAGGACACATGCCCAGGCTGCGGGCTTGATCTCCAGTAGGGGGCGTGCAGGAGGCAGCCGATGGATGATGTCTCTCTCATCGATGTTTCTATCCCTCTCCCTTCCTCTCTCTAAACAAATAAAGTAAATCAACAAAAACATAAAAATAAAACCAGAGGACCACAAGAACTGGAGTTTAAGAGGAGAAAAGGGGTCCACCGGCTTTCAGTTTTCCTTTCAAAACCCCTGGTGAAAACAGAGAGAATATAAAATGTTGAGGACTGAAAGGAACGTTTTGGTCTGGGCAGCAGGAAGAGGGCTGTGGCCTCCCCGGGCTGCATTTGGGGGGCGACGGCCTCTGGCCTGGTGCTGGGTTTGCCTCTCCTGCCGAGCTCTGACGCCAGCGCCCCGGAGCCCCGCCTCCCAGGAAATCCCTGTGCTCGCAGCAAAGGGGGTCCTGAGCACATGACTCTCCCCGAGTCCACGTGTCCTCCCTGCCCCCCTGGGCCCTGGCCACCAGACCGGACGCACGCCTCTGGGACCAGGAAGACGCCCTTCCTGTCCATCGCTGATAGGACTTCTCCGGGGGCCTTAACCAGAGGCCGGGATGAGATCGACCTGGGGTGAGACGGCAGCGGCAGCCCTCGGGCGGCCAACCACTTGCCAGAGGGGACCTGGGAGCAGAGCTGCGGCCCAGCACGGACACCGGGCCTCACAGAGCTGGGGGCAGGGCCCCAGCTCCCCCTGGCGTCTCCTGGGGTCGCTTACTCACTTGGCAAATCTCTGTTGAAGGAATGAACGGGTGGGCAGGTGGATGGAATTCGAGAATGAACCAATGTCACCTGCGTGTTTCTCAAATTCCAGCCGGAGCAGGAACCCAGGAAGGGCCAAGAGCCCTTTCGAGGTGGCTAGAAAGTCAAGTTCAGTGACAGAGACAGCGACGCCCGGGGTCAGGGATCCGGGGCGCTGGAGCAGGGGCAGGGGAGGCGGCGGGAGTGGGGTTTGGGGGCGTGGCAGTTTGTGTGTAAACAAGTGACACCTTGGCACTCTGTGGGCTGACAGCAGGGCCTGGGGAAAACATTTCCAACGGCGGTGGGGACAGCCGGGGAAGGGAGGGCCGTTTGAATCTCAGGCAAGAAGACGTCTCCGTGAGAGAGGAACGCCGGGGGTCCCCGGGACCCCGCGGCCCAGAGCAGGGCAGAGACCTCCCCAGGTCACACGGCGCGCGCGCTCTCGCAGGGGAACGTTGGGAAAAGGACCCAGTGTCCTAGCTCCGGGGCTGGCTCCCGGCCGGGGACATGCAGGCGGCGGTGAGAACCGCGGGGGCCGGGGCGGCAGGCAGGCCTCAGACGGCCGTGAGGGCCGCGCTGCTGAGCACGCGCACGGCGATGGTGCCCGGCAGGTCGCTGGGCTGCCGGCTGTCCCGGTCTCGGAGGTGGAGGGTGTGCAGGGCCTGGAGGTCATCGGGGTCGGCCTTCAGCTGCACCTGGCCCAGGAACTCATCCTTCAGGACGCGGTGGTTCCAGATCTGGAGGAGACAGGGGACCGTGGGGGCCACCCCCAAGGACAGGGCTGCGGGGGCTGCTGGCCGTGTGGGGCAGGGCCTCGATCCCACCCTTCAATGCCTCTGCCTCCCCGTGAAGCCCTTTCCTTTGGCTTTCCCTCCTCTGTCCAAGCCCCCTCCCACGTATAAAGTTAAGTGTGTTACTATGAGCTTTGTGTGACCTTGAAGTCTGGGTGACCTTGAAGAGTGATATACCCACCCCCTGCCTGCTGTCCTCATCTTTAATGTGAGTGGGCCCTATGGTCTTTCTTGCCCCATCTACAGGTCTGTGTTGGATCCGGGGTTCGGAAAACCTGCAGTGCCTCCCCTTGTGGGGGGGGATTGCGGGGGGGCCCTTCCCTGCCGGGGTGCCTAAGTGTTCATTCTTTTTTTAAAATATATTTTATTGATTTTTTACAGAGAGGAAGAGAGAGGGATAGAAAGTTAGAAACATTGATGAGAAAGAGTCATCGATCAGCGGCCTCTTGCACGCCCCCCTACTGGGGATGTGCCTGCAACCAAGGTACATGCCCTTGACCGGAATCGTACCCGGGACCCTTCAGTCCGCAGGCTGATGCTCTATCTACTGAGCCAAACCGGTTTTCGGCCTAAGTGTTCGTTCTTACAGATGGTTTCTCACCACAGAGATGCTGGCCTGGGCCCCGGGGGACAGAGGGCTTCCTGCTGACGAGCTCAGAATGGCCATCCCGGGAGGACAAGGAGGCCCAGGCACAGGGACCTGGCGTTCTGACCTCTGCTCTCTGCCCTCTGACCTGCCACTTCCGTGCCACGTTTACAGGGAAGCCCCCCTGCAGGGGAGTGTAAGGAACCGCTCCCACTTTGGGGCGACGTCGGCAGAGAAGACCACCGTCCCCGGCCAGACCCTGCAGGAGCCCAGAATCCCCGCAGCTGACCTAACGCCCCGCCCCGCCGAGGGACTGGAGCACCGGGAGGGGCGGGCGGGCGGGCGGGAGGACCCCCCGGCCACACTGTGCGGGGGACGGAGGGGGACCCGGAGCCCAGCATCCCTGGGGCCCAGCCCGTCTGCACGGGGAAGCGTCAGGCGAGGGGCAAGGGGAGAGGGGCCCGGACTGGGGGCTCACCTGGACGGTGACGGGCTGGCCGGGCTTCTTGCGGTAGAAGACGCCTTTCACGTCGTACTCGGGCGCCGAGGTGCCCTTCTGCACGGCGGAGCGCACCTTGTGCCCCTCGCACTTGATGATCACGTAGGAGTTAGCCCCTGGAGAGGTGGAGGGGGTGACAGGGTGAGGCTGGGGGGCTGGGGCAGGGCCTGGGGGAACAGGTATCTGGGCGGTGAGGTCCTCCCCCTGGAGCACAAGCCTGAGCTCTGGTATTCAAGAGGCGGCAGACCAGGAGGGGGCGCACCGGTCACCTCCGGCCTCCAGGCCTCCGCCCATGTTGCTCTGTCTAGAGTAGGGGTGTCGAACTCAATCAGAGAAGGGGCCAAAATCTAAAATCCAGCCTAAATCACGGGCCGAATGGTTTACTGAACAGTCATAAACTGTCATTGTGATGGAAACGCAGCGGAGTGCAGTGATGACAGCGCGGTGCGGGCCACATTGCAAGGCCTGGCGGGACGGATTTGGCCCGCGGGCCTTGTGTTTGACACATGTGGTCTAGAGAGTCCTTCCGCCCTCGTCCATCTCACCAGGCTTCGCCCCTTACCACCTCCTCTGGCCTGGAGGAAGCGCTCCCTCCCGGCTGCCTGTTCCCCGGCCCTGGTGCCCCACCTCACCGGAGGCCCCCCCCCCCCGGAGCAGGAGGCAGAGTGTTTCTCTCTATGCACCCCGCTTCCTCCCGGAAGGACTTCAGAAAGGTTTGCTCATTCAGAGATGGAGGGCGGGGAGCTCCAGGGGCTGGGCGTCTTCGGCGGGGGAGGGGAGGAGACACGGGCGGGGGGTTCCCCTCGAGCCGGCGCACCTGTCGGGGCGTCCTTGAGACCAGCGGCCCCCAGGACGTGCACCTGGGTCACCAGCTGCGGGTAGCCGCACACGGAGCTCCAGCAAGAGCGGGCCGGCTCGTCCAGGCACAGCTCCCTGCGACCGGGCGGAGGAGAGGCGGGCGGTCACAAGGGGGGCCAGGAAGATGGAAGAGAAAGGGGTTCGAGAAGAGGGGAGGGGAGACTCGTCCCGGGCAAACTCCCCGGGCTTCCTGCTGCTCTATCCCCACCCAAGGGTGCCCGCCCCATCCCTCCCCAAGGGAAAAGCAATGTACTACTGAGCACCTACTGTGTGCCACGCCCCCTGCTGGGCTGTTACGGGAATTATTTCTAATCCCCACAGGGCCCCGGGAGGTGGGTGACTATGATGCCCATTTTACAGATTGGGAAGCCATCAGGCTTGGCAGGGAAGGGCACATGCCCACCAGCTGGGGGGAGCCCAGGCTGGCAGGATCGAGGCCCCCGGGGCCCACCACACGAGCTGGCCCCGGGCGAGGGATGTGGGCAGGCAGCACCGAATCTGGGCTGCCTACCCCGGTGGAGGGCAGTGTGGGGCCCGCAGGGATGGGACGGTGTTAGCAGTCTACCTAGCTCAGTGGTCAGCAAACACACTCGTCAACAGAGACAAGTATCAACAGTACGACGATTGAAATTTCTTTTGAGAGCCACATTTTTTAAGCTTAAACTATTTAGGTGGACACATTGTTATGAACTTCATTAGGGTACTCCTCCCAAGCTGGCCTTTGCTAACAACTCAAGGGGCCAAAGAGCCGCATGTGGCTTGCCTGCAGTTTGCCGACCACTGACCTAGCCTAACGCGAGATCTCAGAGCACATCCCCAACCTCAATCCCCGATTCGGACCCGTAACCCGAAGGGGGCAGGCCTCCTCCTCCCGGCTGGAGGAAAGCAGCTGGGGCGGGCGAGAGCTTCTGTGTGAGCTGGGAAGAGCTACGCTCGGGTCAGCAGCTGCGCCAGCAGGGGCTGAGAGGCTGGGGCAGGGAGCAGGGGAAGAGAGAGGAAGGGGACGGGAGGCGGGGTGGCTGGAGGCCTGGGCTGTGGGGCCAGGCAGACACGGAGCATCTTTGAGTCAGGTCTGGGCCAGCCTGGTATGGGCCGCGGCCCCCATCATCCCCACCCCGCCAGCACCCGGGCCCGAGCCAGGCCCTGCGCACCCACCGGCAGTTGGAGGGCACGTCGGTGAAGACGCGGAGCAGGAACTCGCCCGTGTGGCCCGGCTCAAAGGTGGTGGGGATGATGACGTAGCGGCCCGCCCGCTGGTCCGCGCGCAGGAAGACGCTGCGGGAGTTGATGTAGATGGAGCTGGCGGCTCGGTGCTGCAGGCTGTGCATGCGGAACTGGCGGTTCTCCTCCACCTGCGGGCGGGGGGGGGGGGGGGGTGTCACACGGAGCCCCGTGCCCCCTCACCCCACAGCTCCCCCTCACCGCCGCCCCCTCACCCCACAGCTCCCCCTCACCCCACAGCTCCCCCTCACCCCACAGCTCCCCCTCTCCGCCACCCCCTCACCCCACAGCTCCCCCTCACCCCACAGCTCCCCCTCACCCCACAGCTCCCCCTCTCCGCCGCCCCCTCACCCCACAGCTCCCCCTCTCCGCCGCCCCCTCACCCCACAGCTCCCCCTCACCCCACAGCTCCCCCTCACCCCACAGCTCCCCCTCACCCCACAGCTCCCCCTCTCCGCCGCCCCCTCACCCCACAGCTCCCCCTCACCCCACAGCTCCCTCTCACCCCACAGCTCCCCCTCTCCGCCGCCCCCTCAACCCACAGCTCCCCCTCTCCGCCGTGCAAAGTGTAACGGAACCACGTCCATGGGAGGCCCAGAACGGGTAAAGCTACAGCGACAGAGCAGACGAGTGTCTGCCTAGGGCGGGGGAGGCGTGGTGTGCGTGGGACCAGGTGATGGGTTGGCGCCAAAACTGGTTTGGCTCAGTGGATAGAGCGTCAGCCTTCGGACTGAAGGATCCCATGTTCGATTCTGGTCAAGGGCAGGCACATCCCCAGTGGGGGGGTGTGCAGGAGGCAGCTGGTCGATGATTCTCTCTCATCGATGTTTCTAACTCTCTATCCCTCTCTCTTCCTCTCTGTAAATAATCAATAAAATTAATTTTATTTATTTATTTTTTTTAATCACATACAACACATATATGGAAATTTGTTTTCTTTCTTTTTTAAAAAAAATATATTTTATTGATTTTGTACAGAGCGGAAGGGAGAGAGATAGAGAGTTAGAAACATCGATGAGAGAGAGTCATCGATCAGCTGCCTCTTGCACACCCCCTACCGGGGATATGGCCGCAGCCAAGGTACATGCCCTTGACCGGAATCAAACCGGGGACCTTTCAGTCCCCAAGCCAACGCTCTATCCATTGAGCCAAACCGGTTTCGGCTCAAATAAAATATATTTTAAAAAAATAACAAATAAAATGGGTGTGGTGATGGTGGCAGAGCTCTATGGCCACACCAAAGTCACTGCCCCCTTTACGTGGCCGATGGCATGGGAGGTGAGTCGGGGGCAATAGGAGTTCCCGGGAACAACGGCTGTGGGGGTTCATCGCTCTGCCCGGGTCCCAGCCCGGGTCCCAGCCCGTGTCCATGGTGACATCGCCAGCTGGGAGGACAAGCTGGACAATGGCTGGAGTCCGGGCCACGGGAAGCTTCAGGCACGTCCGTGGGGGTCGGACATGTCACGTCCCGGCCACAGCACATCAGCGCGCGTGCATGGACCGACACCACGACATGAACAAGTGTCACGACCGGCGTGTCAAAGGCCAGGGGCTCCGCGTGGGCCACCCGCCCAGTGTATCCACGGGTGTCACTGGGTGCTCGGCGTCTGGCTCTACGCGGAGTGTCGTCGCACACTGAGCGTCACGCTACGTGGAAGGAGGAGTGGCCGCCGGTGAGCCCGCCTGGCTCTGCTCGGGGCCTCCTCCCTGCGCCCAGCAAAGCCTCCAGGTCAGCGGGACCCAGAGCCTGGCCCCACCCATCCAGATCCTCCCCTTCCCCACCCACCACGCAGACCGGCCTATGGGTCTCAGGCAGGAAGAGATCAACGGAAGGACTTGTATGCATGCACATAAGCATAACGAATGGAGGAAAAACTCTGGGGAGGGAGGGCATGTATGGAAGTGGGGGGGGGGATTGGTAAGGTATGTACACATATAATACCTTAAAAAAGATAAGAAAGAGCCAAAACCGGTTTGGCTCAATGGATAGAGCGTCGGCTTGGGGACTGAAGGGTCCCAGGTTCGATTCCGGTCAAGGGCATGTACCTTGGTTGTGGGCATATCCCCAGTAGGGGTGTGCAAGAGGCAGCTGATCGATGACTCTCTCTCATCGATGTTTCTAACTCTCTATCTCTCTCCCTTCCTCTCTGTAAAAATCAATAAAATATATTTTTAAAAAATCTAAAAAAAAAAAAAAAGATAAGAAAGAAAAGAAAAAGAAATCAGGCTGAGCACCCCCCCTGGAAGCCAATCCCAGCCAGGCTGGGCCTCGGTGGGTCCTGCCACCAGGACCGATGCCACGGCATGGCCCTGGTGTCAGCCCAGTGGTCAGGGTGGCAGATGATGTCGGTGGGCCAGGTGTTCTTCCCCCCGTGCTGGCGCCCTCGCTCTCCGCGCCCGGAGCCGGCCTCACCTTGTAGATGTCGAAGCCGATGGCCAGGTTTTCGCCCTTGCCGTCCCGACGGGTGGACTGCTTCGGCCGCTGCTGGATGGAGATCAGCACCTCATCTTCCGCCTTCTTGACATCAAAGATGTACTGCAGGCAGGGCCGAGGGGGGGAGACGCCGGTGAGGCCAGACTGGCCACGGGCTCGCCCCCTCCCGGGAGCTCAGCCCACAGCCCGCGTGTGTGCGCGTGGGAGGTCACGTCACCTCTCTGAGCCTCAGCTCCTCACCTGCCACCTGGGCCTAAACCGCCTACAGTGCATGAGGGGTGAGATCACGCATGCTCAGCTCGGAGACGCATGCATATGGTGCTCAATAAAGACACACCTTTGGCCGAAGCCAGTTTGGCTCAACGGATAGAGCCAGGTTCGATTCTGGTCAAGGGCCTGTGCCTTGGTTGTGGGCACATCCCCAGGAGGAGGTATGCAGGAGGCAGCTGATCGATGTTTCTCTCTCATCGATGTTTCTAGCTCTCTAGCTCTCTCCCTTCCTCTCTGTAAAAAAAAAATCAATAAAATATATATTTTTTGGGGGGGAGGGGGAGACATATCTTTGATCCCAGGTCTCGGCAACAAAAAGTAAAAACCAAAAGGACACACCGAGCATGAGGACTACGCCGGTGCAGGGGCAGGACAGGGGAGGCTGCAGGGGAGAGGTGCCTGTGGAGGTGCCTGGCCCAACTCCCCCAGAAGGAGGGTTCTGTGTGTGTGGAAATAAAGGGTTTGAGCCCCGGTTCCGCCTCTACATGTCCCTGTACCGCTGGACAAGACCCTCAGTCCTCAGAGCCTTTCCCTCGGTTCGGCCAGCTGTGGAGACTACACGGCCACCCAGACATGCCATCCAGGCCCCCTGCAGGGCGGGTGTGCCGAGGCCCGCCGCGGGGCAGGGACGCCGCGGGTGGTGCCGGCGGAAGTCCCCGGCAGGGGGTGCGGGGCAGGGACGCCGCGGGTGGTGCCGGCGGAAGTCCCCGGCAGGGGGTGCGGGCCCGCTGCGGGGCAGGGACGCCGCGGGTGGTGCCGGCGGAAGTCCCCGGCAGGGGGTGCGGGGCAGGGACGCCGCGGGTGGTGCCGGCGGAAGTCCCCGGCAGGGGGTGCGGGGCAGGGACGCCGCGGGTGGTGCCGGCGGAAGTCCCCGGCAGGGGGTGCGGGGCAGGGACGCCGCGGGTGGTGCCGGCGGAAGTCCCCGGCAGGGGGTGCGGGGCCCGGGGCAGGGACGCCGCGGGTGGTGCCGGCGGAAGTCCCCGGCAGGGGGTGCGGGCCCGCCGCGGGGCAGGGACGCCGCGGGTGGTGCCGGCGGAAGTCCCCGGCAGGGGGTGCGGGGCCCGCCGCGGGGCAGGGACGCCGCGGGTGGTGCCGGCGGAAGTCCCCGGCAGGGTGCCGGCCCACCTGCGGGTTCTGGAAGAAGGTGTCCTTGTGGTTGATGCAGCCGCCGCTGCGGTTCTGCCGCGGGTCCTCGTGCCGCGTCCAGGCCCCGCGCAGCCGGGCCTCCTCCCAGGTCTTGTGGATGCTCAGGTAGGACGTGTTGAGCAGGCGGCACTTGATGATGTCGGTGAAGTACTGGCACACGTCCTGGAAGGTCATCCTGGGGGGCCGGGGGCCGGGGGCCGGGTCAGGCAGGTCCCCCCGCCGGCTGCCACCTGCTCGCCCTGCCTGCTCCGAACCGCGACTCGCACAGCAGCGAGCGCGGGCCTGGCGTCACCCAGACCCGTCACGTCTCTTTGGCCTCAGTTTCCCGGTGTGTAACCTGGGACTGGGCCGAACAACAGCCGCCACCTCACTGAGCGAGCGCAAGAATGAACTAGAGCAGTAAAAGCATGTGGTGCGACTCCGGGCAGGCAGACGGAGCGATTGCGGAGGCTGGCGGTTACAATCATTAATGGCACCGAGAGCGAATACAGGCCGCACTCTGCGGCGAATAAACCACGTTTCCATCCATCATCGTCCACGGCGGTGGTGGGGCCTGAATAAACTGGTGGCGGGAACCCCTTGGTGAGCGTGAGGCAGAGGCAAGGATGTTGCCATGGTCACCGCGTGCTGCACACACGCCAGGGCCTGGGGGGGGGGGGGGGGGGAGGGGAAGTGCCCGTCCCCTTCAAGAAGGCTTCTATGAGAACACGCACACACACTGAGTGGCCAGATTAGAATGATCTCTGAATGCATAATAATCTGGCCACTCAGTGTGTGTGTGTGTGTGTGTGTGTGTGTGTGTGTGTGTGTATTCGAGGCCCCATGCATGGGTGGGGTCCATGGGGAGAGGACATGGACAGTTGGCCAGCCGAGGGGATAGTTTGCATATTAGGCATGTGCTGGAGCCCTGGCTCCCACCTCCCCTCGGCGCCCTGCCGGCCCAGGGGAGGTCCTCCCTCACCCCGGCCGTCCGCCTGGGCAAGAGCACACTCACCAGAACTCGCCGTCGTCCTGCACGGTCACGCCCATCTTTTCCCGCTCGCTCTTGCTCACCTTCCGCCACTCCTCCGAGCTGGGGCGCGAGCACAGGGGCAGGAAGGGGAGAGGGTAAGGGGAGGGTCTCCACCCGGCCCCGGGCAAGGGCGAGGAGGACAGGGATGTGGGCAGCAGCCCCTCTAAGACGCCTGTCTGCCCACTTCCACAGCTAACGTGGGCCGGGCCTGGAGGCCGGGGAGCAGAGCTGCAGGCTGGGGTACAGGGGGACACGACCCTGCATGGAGGGGCTCCTTTCCGGGGGCCTGGTCTCTGTTCACCAGGCACAGAGCAGTCAGCCCCATTCTCACCCCCGAGGCCTCCCTCCTGCTTCCTCCCCCACTCCCCTCACTGGCCAGACTGGTCTCTGTCCCCAACTCCAGGCCTTTGCGCGTGTGAATCCACCCCCAGGTCCCACTCTGCCGTAGTCTCCTCCTAATGCCACCCAACTCCCAGATCCTCCAGTCCCAGCCCTGGCCGCCGCCTCCAGGAAGCCCCCCTGTTCTGCCCAAGCCCTCACACCAAGCCCCGCCCCCACCCCACTGCGCCCGGCCGGCCCCATGCCTGCGCCCCCACCCAGGCCTCACGCCCGGTGCCTGCGCCCCAACCCCGGCCTCACGCCCCGTGCCTGCGCCCCAACCCCGGCCTCACGCCCCGTGCCTGCGCCCCCACCCAGGCCTCACGCCCGGTGCCTGCGCCCCCACCCCGGCCTCACGCCCCGTGCCTGCGCCCCCACCCCGGTCTCACGCCCCGTGCCTGCGCCCCAACCCCGGCCTCACGCCCCGTGCCTGCGCCCCCACCCCGGTCTCACGCCCGGTGCCTGCGCCCCCACCCCGGCCTCACGTCCTGTGCCCCCACCCCACTGCGCCCGGCCCGCCCCGCCCCGTGCCTGCGCCCCCACCCCGGCCTCACGCCCCGTGCCTGCACCCCCACCCCGGCCTCACGCCCGGTGCCTGCGCCCCCACCCCGGCCTCACGCCCGGTGCCTGCGCCCCCACCCGGGCCTCACGCCCGGTGCCTGCGCCCCCACCCAGGCCTCACGTGTCGCTCCACGGCCCGGTCCACTCCCGCTCGCCCCAGGGGTTGCGCAGGCGGATCATGTCCAGCTTCTCGGACTTGAAGAAGGCCAGCAGCCCGTGGCCCAGGCGCACCTTGCGCACGTCCGTGATGGCGTAGGCGTGGCCCTTCACCAGGCCGCACGCCAGGCGCACCTCCATGTCCGCCGCCGTCACAGCCTGTGGAGCAGGAGGAGGAGGAGTGGGAGGAGGGGGAGGAAGAGGACGGGGAGGAGGAGGAAAAGGGGTGGGGGGAGGAGGGGGAGGTGGCTCATTAGGCTAGGCCCTATCAGGCTGCTGGTGGAGCCAGGGGCCCAGCGCCCCCTACAGAGCAGGGAGAGGATGGCAGCCCCACACCACTGGGTCAGCCACACCTGGATTCGAATTCTGCCTTCCCTGAGCCCCAGCTTTCCCAGGGAAGCGTGAGCAGTCCCTGAAATGAGACCAAGCGCCCAGGCCTGGCCAGCAGGCAGCAGGCTCCCTCCCCTCCCCCAGCTACCCCATAGTGTGTGATGTCCCAAATTTTGACTTTGAGACCTCAGATGTATAGACACCATTCCGAGGGGGCCAGGGAAGAGGGTGTGTGTCACCCAGTGTGGGCCGGGCATTTCACAGCGTAGGGTTGGGGGCCGGGGCAGGCGGCTGGTGCTGCCGGGCACCGGGCCAGGCTTGCACCGCTCCTACTGCCCCCCTCCCCCTGAGGCCGCGGGTCTGGATGCCTCAGGGGGAGGGGGGCAGTAGGAGCCGCCTCCCACCCTATGGAGCGGGTGAAGGGGTGGGCCCCCTCGGGGTCCGGCTCAGGGCTCTGACCTTGATGGAGGCGCTGATGAGGCCACCCCGGCTGTGCACCTTCAGCATGCGCTCGAAGAGGGCATTCCTCTTGGCCTCGTCGTTGGCGAAGTCCCCCTCGGCCAGGTCGATGGGCTCGGAGACGCCGCCCGTGAAGTCCACCAGCGCGTCCGCCGTGTTGCCGCCGTCCAGGGCCTGGTAGCAGCCCGCCAGCCTGGGAGCAACGGGGAGAGAACTCCCAGCTCATGCCCCCAGCCACGCCACGTCCTCACCTCGCCGGGGAGATCTGGGGCTCAGAGAGGCCAAGCACACTGCTCCGGCCACACAGCAGAGCCAGCAGCGTCCCACGGAGCCACACCACCTTCTCACTCCAATTCCCCTCAGGCCTAGCGGCCCGTCTTCAAAAATGAGCTTCCAGCCGAAACCGGTTTGGCTCAGTGGATAGAGCGTCGGCCTGCAGACTAAAAGGTCCTGGGTTCGATTCCGGTCAAGGGCATGTACCTTGGTGTGCAAGAGGCAGCTGATCAATGATTCTCTCTCATCGATGTTTCTAACTCTCTATCCCTCTCTGTAAAAAATCAATAAATATATATATTTTTTTAAAATGAGCTTCCGGAAACGTACCACCTCCCCAGTGAGGCCTCTGGAGGAGGAGGGGGAGGAGGAGGAGGAAACTCAGCAGCCTGGCTCTCTGGGAAAGACCACTGACCTGAACGTGAGTGCTGGCTCCCCCGGCCCCTGGCAGGAAACCACCCTGGGCCTCAGTCTTCTCCGGTCTAAGTGGGGGTAACTATTCCTCCCGATGTGGGTGGGTTGTGGGGACTTCCAACCAGGTGCCCAGAGGGCCTTCCGTCCAGGCCTCCACCTCACCCAGCACAGGCTCAGCTGGCCCTGCCCTGGGCGGCCTAGCTCTGAGCATGCTGTGTGACTCTGCATCAGCCCCTGCCCTCTCTGTGCCGGGAGCCCTGGCTAAAGGGAGCCATGTGGAGCCCAGCAGCAGTGCCACCCGGCCTGGCCACCTGCCCTCCTGCTCCCTGCCCCCTGCCGGCACCTACTTGGCATAGGCCTTCTCCACCAGGGCACACCAGAACTCGTTCGGGGAGTTGGAGTGGCAGTAGATGAGCTGGTTGTTGACTGTGGGCAGCCGGTCGTCGATGACCACGTCCACCCACTCCCCGAAGCGCCAGAAGTGGAAGTGGAAGATGCCGGCGTAGGCGTCGGGCTTCTCGGGGTCCCACTCCTGCTCCTTCCAGTCGGGGATGACCTGAGGTGGGCGACAGGATGGGCACACACGGAGGTCACATCTGGCTTCCTGAGGAAATGGGGGGAAGGGGGCGCCATGCTTCCCGGGAATCCAACGGGCAGGAATACTGGGCTCGATGCCCCCTCTGCCATGAACAGTGTGGGGCTTGGGCACATCCTCCCCTCTCTCTGCAGTGGCTGGAGGCTCCTTAGGCTCCTCCCAGCTCTGCCATTCTAAGATCCGATGAGCTTCCCCTCCCTTCCTCGTGCCTCCATCTACTCCCCCCACTCCCCCCGCCCACGCCCCTCCCCCCCCACCCCGCAGGAACATCTCATATCCACCCCAGTTCCTACTGGTGAATGGTGCCACAACTCCCGACCCCCGACCCCACATCCCCACCCCCAGCCTGCCACAGGAGTAGGTAACCACTCTGGCCTCCTCCCCGTTCCATCCAATCAGGCTAAAACCCGTCTCCCCCTGTCCTTTACATTCTGCTGAAACCCGTCTCCCCCTGTCCTTTACATTCTGCTAAAACCCGTCTCCCCCTGTCCTTTACATTCTGCTAAAACCCGTCTCCCCCTGTCCTTTACATTCTGCTAAAACCCGTCTCCCGCTGTCCTTTACATTCTGCTAAAACCCGTCTCTTCCTGTCCTTCCCGCAGCACCTCCCCGCTTCCAGTCCCCCATCTCCTCACCCGGGACACTAACAGCACCAGCAGCCACGTCTGCCTTCACCCCACACAGCAGCAGCGTGAGCTTTCTGACCAGCACGCCCCTGGAAAAACACCTAAGGGGCTCCGTCCCCTCCACCGCCTCCCAGGCTGGTTCCTCTACCCGCCCCCGACCCCCACCCGCCCCCTGCTCCAGGATCATTCTCCGTCCTTCCTCCACTGGCTCTCACTGTCCTTCAGGGCCCACCCTCCTCCTCCAGGAAGCCCTCCTTGACCCTTCAGACGAGGCCAGGACCCCTGTCCAGCAGTCTCATGGCTTCCGGGACCTCTCCTCTGAGGTCCTTATTCCGGTTGTCACTAAAAAGTCTGTGGTGGCGCCGGGACTGGTTTGGCTCAATGGATAGAGCGTCGGCTTGGGGACTGAAGGGTCCAGGGTTCGATTCTGGTCAAGGGCATGTACCTTGGTTGCGGGCACATCCCCAGTAGGGGGTGTGCAGGAGGCAGCTGATCGATGACTCTCTCTCATCGATGTTTCTGACTCTCTATCTCTCTCCCTTCCTCTCTGTACAAAAATCAATAAAATATATTATAAAAAAAAAAAAAAGTCTGTGGTGGCATGAACAGCGCTGATCCTGACCCTGGAATGTCCGCTCCCTGAAGGCAGGGACCCTTCAGGCTTTGCTCACTGCCCTCCCCCAGCACCCAGCCCAGAGCCTGGCCCAGAGAGGGTGCTTGATGGAATGAATAAATGCACGGGCCTTCCATGGGACTCGAATAACAATTATTAATGATGGAGCATCTTGGAAATGTCAGGCAGCAAGCCGTGAGTGCTGTGAGTTACATCAGTTTCATTCCCAGGATAACTCGTGCATCTATTACAATTACTCGTCCCTACTTTACAGATGAGAAAAAAATCAAGCCTCAGAGAGGGCAACTAACTTGTTCAGGGTCACGCAGCTAGAAAATACACGTGCTCTTCATCAGGGGGGACATGCTGCCCCCGGGGACCCGGATGAATCAGACGTGGTCCCTGCCCTCAGGAAGCTCCCGGTCTCCTGAGAGAGGCAGGCACACGGGTGCATTCGGGCCCTGGAGAGGAGGGGTGGAGGGCCCGGCCTGGGGCAGGGGGCAGCAGCAGCTTCTGAGAGCGTGTCCTGGGAACTGGCCGTGAATGTCCCCTCACAGACTGGGAGGTGGGCAGGGAAGGGAAGACCCTTTGGGAAGGGGACTTGCTGACCCTGCGAAACAGGAGGCCGGAGGGGCCGAGCACCACCGGGACCAGGTGCAGCTCCTTCTAGAAGCCAGCCACGCCCAGGCCTGGGGCGGACGCGCAGGCATCCAGGCTGGGGAGCCAGACGTGCATCAGGAGCTGTAACCCCCAGGGCCCGGGCGGGCCTGAGCACAGAGACTTCAGCCAACAGCCCTCCCCAGCCCCTACGCTCATTAAAGATGTTTTTGTTTTACGCCTCATGCCATCAGCAGGGATGTTGGGAAAGAGAAATGCTCCCTCGTGGGACATTCAAGACCAAGAAAATGAAAACGCTAAGCGCAGTGAGAGGCGTCAGAGCCGGAGGTGCCAGGACTGCCCGGTGCCAGGCGCAGGGCCCGCTGTGTACTCCGTCACCCCGACCCTCGCCAATCTACAGAAACGCTGGCAGGAGCCGCCCCGGGACACAGCGGGGGAGGCGGGATCCACACTCAGGGCTTCAGAGCCGGCGCAGCGTCTGGAACCCAGCGGGGCCTGATCCTGCCTGAGCCGGTCCCTCCCGCCTCCTTCCTCCCCTTCCAGCCCCTCTGTGTCCTTTCTCGCTAAAAGCTCCAGACTGCCAGGACCGGTTTGGCTCGGTGGATGGAGCGTCAGCCTGTGGACTAAAAAGTCCCGGGTTCGATTCCGGACAAGGGCATGCACCTTGGTTGCGGGCACATCCCCGGTGGGGGCTGTGCAAGAGGCAGCTGATTGATGACTCTCTCTCATCGATGTTTCTGACTCTCTATCCTTCTCTCTTCCTCTCTGTGAAAAATCAATAAAATATATTAAAAAAAAAAAAAAAGCTCCAGACTGTCCCCCAGCCCTCCCTCCTGCTTCCCTCTCAGGACGGAACGTTGTGCACAAAACAAGGCACGTGCAGGGTGGGGTGTCATCCCCACTACGCAGGCGGGAAGACTGAGGCCCACGGAGCAACGGGGAGTCCAAAGAGAACACTGGCCTGGCCACGACCTGCTGCCCGGCTCCTCCGCGCTCCGGAAGCCCGGGCCTGTGTGGGAATGGGGGAGGGGACACGAAATGGGGGGGCGGGAGGGGGGCTGAGGAGGGAGGAAGAAGAGCCCTCACGGGGCGCTGGGAGGGCCTGCTGGGGCCGCGAGAGGATCATTAGCCAAAGCCAGGGCTTGGCTCTGAGCCCTCTGCGGCTCGAGAAGCACTAATAAGGCTCCTGGGTCTGGAGACCTGCAGTCAGGGCTCCCTGGGACCTCCCTCCCCCTTCGGCATCACAGCCCCCGATCAGGCAGGGGGTGGGCCCCACGCCAGCCCCCCCTTCCCTCAGCCTCCCCCACTCAGCTCTGTCGTCTGCTGGGTGCCACGCCAGGGAGATAAGACCGTCCGGGAAGGGGCACTTCGCAGGCCCACAAACTCAACTCCCTTCCTGACAGCATCAGATGGAGCCCCAAATCAAGGGAGTGAAACACCAAAGCCCCTGGAGCCACATCAAAGGATTCCGGACCGACTTGAAGAGGCTCCAACCAGGGCCCATCTGAGCAGCAATGAGGATAACAACAACTCGGATGGATGAAAACACGTCAGATGCATTCACATCCGCGAGCTCCTGATGGAACACAAACCATTAGTCACTGCCGGGGGGTGGCAGGGAGTCAGCTCGTGTCTGTGAGCCTGGAGGACGAAGGGGAAGAATGAGAGATGTGTCCTGCCTCTTGCGCACAAGCTGTACCGCAGGGGGGACCGAGAGCACAGGGAGGGGGGTTTGTAGCAGGAGATGAATGCCAGCTAAGAACGGAGGAAGACACGAGAGTGTTAGACGCCCGCTGTTTTGCAGCCACTGGATTTACGACATCCTGGCTTCTGACATCACAGAACAGAGCGGCCACCGCCGGGAAAGCAGTTGTGCCTGACAGAATTTGAGTCTGAACCTTACCAAGCCTCTGGGGCTAAGTCCTGGGCACTGAGAGCGTGGTAAACCACACCATGAAAACAAAGCCACAAACCCAGAGAGAAAGCCCCCACCCCCACCCCCACCCCAGGCCCTAGCCAACTCGCTGGGTACATTCCAAGACCCCAGTGGGTGTCTGAAGCCGCGAGAGCCAAACCCTATCTATCCTGTGTTTTCCTGTACACACAATACCTACGACAAAGCTCAAGTTATAAATCAGGCAGAGCAAGACATTAATTTGGAAAAGTTTATACTTAGTAACTGTAAACTCTATTTTTCCTGTATCATTTTTTCCTACACATGTACACCTTCTATAAAACTCAACTTGTACACTAGGCACCGTTCAGAGACAAGCACTTGGATGCTGGGGCAGCTGACCTGATCACTGAGACACCGCTTACCCCTCGAGGAGACACGGGTCAGAGGGTGACTCACATCCAGGCGGGAGGGAGGGGACAGCACAAGAGCTCACCACACTTCTCAGAACAACGTACAATTTAAAACGTGCGAACTGTTTATTTCTGGAATTTTCCATTTAATGTTTTCGGGCCACGGTTGACCATGGGTAACTGAAAGGGCAGAAAGCAAAACTGAAGACAAGAGGGCCCTGCTGCCGCTGGGCAGGCATGGACAGCAGATCCTCAGCAAACAGACCTCAAGGAAGACACTGAAAGGTGAAGGGGAGCAGCCAGGCGCAGCGACAGGCCCTGGGTCTCATTCGAACAAACTGGAACACACACACACACACACACACACACACACGTTTATGGCACAGATTTCCTGGATACTTGATGATATTAAAAAAAAGTAGTGTAAAATTTAGTTGTGTTACATTATTACTGTGAGGGTTCTTTGTTTTATTTGAAATGAGTCGTTATCATTCAGAAATGCATCCAGAAATATAATGGTACCAGAGGCCCGGTGCACGAATTTGTGCACAGGTTGCTCCCTCGGCCTGGCTGGCAATTGGGGCCAATCAGGGCAGCCGAGGGGAGGGGCCGCAGGAAGTTGGCGGGCCGAGGAAGGTTGGCTGTGGGAGCACACTGGCCACCAGGGGGCAGCTCCTGTGTTGAGCGTCTGGCCCCTGGTGGTCAGTGCACATCCTAGCTACCGGCTGGTTGTCCGGTCCTAATGGTTGCTTAGGCTTTTCTATATAGAGATGTTGCCTGGGGGGGAGGGGGGTAGAGAGGAAAAGGAATGGGCCTTGAGTTGACAACTGTTGAAGCAGAGGATGGGTGAAGGCAGCTCATTGGGTTGACTCTCTCTTGTTGGCTCCCCACTGGGGACACCAGCTCCCTGGCTGGGCATGCAAAGCCTTTGAGGGGTGGCTATGACCCGTCAACCTCCCCACCAAAGGAGAAAAGCAAACCTCCCAACAGCCCCCTGTGCAGGTGGGAAAAGGGAGGCCTGTGGGGTCGCGGTACTCACTTTGCCTGGCCAGGCAGAGAGGTAAACACTGTGTGGGGTTTGGGGCCCCCTCACACCACGGGACCCCATTAACCAGCACTCACTGCTGAATCCCTCAGAAACCACTGGACCCCACTAATGGGTGCATCACAGCGCCCCCTGGTGTTCCCGGCCCTTGGATGCTCCCAGGATTTTCCCTGAGGACTCCCACACGTGGCAGGGCTCAAATCCTTGTGGACTCACTCGCGCAGGTGTGAGCCGGAGCTCTGCGGAGAGCTGTGGGGGACAACAGGGATGTGAGACGTGGCCAGGGGTGTGTGTGTGGGGGGGGGGGGCTAGGGGGGCATTTTGAAGCAGCAGGTTGTTTGCAAGCAAAACCCCAAGTGTGGGCTCAGAAGCATGGTCTGACCTTGGCCTCTAGGAAGAAACTAGCCTCGCCCAAACCTAGGCCCTGGGTAAGTGAAGGTATCGCCTCTGCTCATCCTGGTGGGGGGTGGGGGCATGTCATGGAGGCAAAGGCCACAGACCAGAGCCTGCCCCCGCCCTCTGTGCTGTGGGGCCGGCTGCTTCCTCCTTCGGGCCTCTTCTCTGCCCCAGAAAGCAGTGAGTTAGAGACGGCAAGGGACAGAGCTCTGAGACGGCTCGGATGGGACCCTGGGATGTGAAATACCAGTCTTACCAGGTCACAGGCAGGGCGGAAGGGACTTTGCAGAAGCAGCTTGCCCGCTCCAGAGAGGCTGGGGCTGGGAGCTGCCTGAGGTCAGGCAGCAAACTGGTGATGCGGGGTCGGTCTGGTGAAACCCGGGCACAGGCCTAACCCCACCCGCTAGCTACTCCCCTGTCCCATCTGCATTCACCCAGCCCGCCTTCCAGGCTGAGCACAGCTTGGTGCACCCCTCCCATCCCCTCTGGGCCCCTGAAGACCAGATGGTGCCTCCTTGTGGCCTCAGCACGGCTTGCACGCTCCCCCCCCCACCCCCCCATACAGAGGCCGGGCTGGGGCCGCCGGGGGCATTGGTGCCCAATGGGGGTCAGGAGACCTGGTTCCAGACTCCTTCCTGCTGCCTGACCACGGGCGTCACCTGGCCACTCTGGCCTCGTCCCAGGAAGCAGCCGGCGGGGAGTCGGGAGTGTGGGGGAAGCCTGGGGAGGGGTGCTCTGGGCTGTGAGGGGAGGGGGCTCACGGCGAGAGACTGCACACCACGGAGGCAGGGCTCACAGGCTTTATTGGGGCCACGCACAGGGCAGGGTGGGGGTACAGGCAGTCAGTCTGCAAAAGAGGGTCCCCAGAGCTGCAGAAGAGGGCAAGCAAAGAGGCAGGGGGCAGGGCCAGCCCCAGGGGAAGCAAAGCAGGCAATGCCAGGACTTTAAGCACATCCCAAACTGCCCGGAGCTGAGTGAGGAAGGACCGGAGCCCACACCACAGCCAGTCTCCCACCCGAAGAATCCAGACTTCCCCCCACACCTCCGGAGTGGGGGCCCGCCTGCCAGCAGCCCCGGCCAGAGGGGAGGGCTGACCTCCATCTCTCGGTGGATCTGTTCCCAGGACCTGTGGCCCCCAAAGGCTCCGCTTTGTGAGGGAATGTCGGGGGCACGTCCCTGACAAAAGCCAGGCTGGCCTGTGGCAGGGTGTTGGGGGCACCAGGCGGGTCAGACCCCTCCTTCTCAGGGGCTCACTGGGCCTGTGCCGGGCGCGAGGCTTGGTGGGTGGAGCTGAGTCTGCTGATCATGGTGTCTCGAGTTCTCTGGTGGGAGGATTGTCCTCCCACCACACTAGTGGCCCCCTGCAGTCTGTTTCTGACCGTCGGCCATCACCGCTGCCCCAGCAGGCCGCCCCCACCCCTCAGCTCCACTAAAGATGCCGGAGACGGCACAGAGGTGGCACACTCACCTCTGCTGGCCGGTGAGCTGGGAACACCCGAGGCCCCTGAACCTACCATCCCAGCTCCAGGGCTCTGCACCCCTCCACCCCCCTCGCCCAGGCAGAGGGAAACCCCTATTCTACTCTGTTCCCCGATCACTGTCCGAACCTCAGCGCCTCCCGGCTCCGGAAGCCCCCGCCCTGAGGTCACGCTGACCAAGCCCAGGCGTGAACCTGCCGGCAATTCTATCCCAGGTCATCTCAAGTCAGGTTTGAGCACGGGGCAGGCGTAGTAGACTCCAGGATACACCCCTAGGAAGGCAGCGTGCTCTCTCCGTGTATACCTATATGGATAGACAGGTACATCTCTACACGACTTTATGCTCCTTCACTTCTCCCTCCTGAAGTCACTCTCAGAAGAGCAAGGCCTGCAGCGCCTCCCGCGTGCCAGCCAGTCCTCCCGCCCCAATGTCCTGAGGGCCCGAGGTGCCCACACAGGCCAGCCCAGGAGCAGCGCCTTCCCGGACGTGGCTTGCTGGCTTCCCCGGGGACCCGCTTCCGTCTCCATCTCCCCGTCTGCAGAGGACGCCGCTGGCTGGCTCTTTGGATCCTGTCTGTGTCTGTGGTGTCCCTCTCGGTCTCCCTCAGTCTCTCTCCGACGGTGAGGCACAGAGAAGGCAGGTGCCCACGGACGCTCCATCTTCGCACGCTGGCCCCGGCCTGGCCTCCGGGTCTACAGCAGGAGCAGCGGCAGCCGGTCCAGCTTCTGGAGCGCCGGCATCAGGCAAGGAGAAGCGGAAGGACATAGGCCTGGGGGTCCTGCACAAGCTGAGCGCAGCCACTAACACAGGTCCCCAATACACATCTGGGGGCAGCGCAGGGGGCAGGGCGGGCGGGCGGGGGCAGGGGGCGCCCCGGGCAGCGGCCTCAGAGCTGGTTGAAGACCACGGAGGCCTGGAGGTTGGCCGGCTCCATGCCCTCGCCGAAGGTGATGAGGAAGTACATGACCTTGCGGATCTTGGCCAGCTCCGACAGGCGCTCCCCGAACTCCAGGGCGTCGGCCTCGTTCCAATCCACGGCGTCCGAGCCCTCCATGCGCCAGAAGATGGCCGCGGGCTCCAGCAGCTGGCGCGTCATGAGGTTGGTGAGGTCGGGCGTCCAGTTCTGGGAAGTGCCCGTGACGGTGACCTTGCCCGGCTTGTCCAGCAGGACGTCCCAGCGCTCGAACTGCAGCTTCTGCTGCTGGGTGAAGTCCAGGCGGTACACGAACTCCGCCGGCCGCAGCAGCTTCTCCCCGTCCTGGCGCTTCTCCCCGCGCTGCTTCAGGCTCTCCACCCGCAGCCGCATCTGCTTGGTCAGGGCCTCGTCCGGCACCAGCGGCATGCTGATCTGCGGCTGCTTCGGCCCGTCCTCCGCCATGGCCCACCGGGTGCTGCTGCCGCTGCCTCTGCCACGTCTCCACCTCCGTCCAGGAGCCGAGTGAGCTGGGGCCTCCCTGCCCAGGCACAGAGGCCCCCAGGAGGGGCCCGCCCACCTCGACTCCTCCTCTCCCCTCTGGCCAATGGGCCTTCCCAGCTCCACCCAGTCCTCAAAACAGGGGGGTGTAGGAGGGCGAGTGTCCCCCAAGGAATGGAGGCCCTGCAGGCGGCGGGAGGGTGGCAGGCTCCTCGGGGACCAGATTGCTGATGTCAATTGCTGTGGCAACCTCCCTGGCTACCGCGATGGGCTGGGAGCGGCTTGTTTGTGGAGCAGGGAGCAGAGGGAGCCCGGAATCAGGGCGGGGGGTGGGGGAGGGGTGTGCAGGGGCTCACTGGAGGGCCCGGGGGCCCGCTGATTTGAGGTCTGAAGTCACCCGAGCCAAACCTCTTAGCCATCCTTGACTCAGCCTCCCCTCAGCCTCTGCACCCCATCACCGAGGCCTCGCGATTCTGCCTCCCCGATGCCCCGAGAGCCCCGGCCCAGCCAGTGTCTCTCACCGACACCCGTGCCCCCAAGCTTTACTGAGCACCAGGACCCCCGTAGGACTCAAGACCCAGAGCTTCCGATTTAACCGATCTCTGCCGGGCCCTGGGCGGCGGCAGGTCCCCCGGCTGCCGCGCGCTGCTGGCTGGGGCTTGTGCTCGGAGAACCACAGCCCTGGATGATCCCTGTGCCCGGGCCCTGCTCAGGCCTGCGCACGGCGGCCACATGCCCAGGTTTCCCTCCACGAGAATCTCACCTCTGGCTCTGCCTGTGCATGGGTTTACCTGGGGAGGTCTGGGCTGGAGGCAGCCCTGAGAGCAAAGAATGCCCACCCTCTCCGTCTCCCCAGGAAGCCTGAGGCAGGGGGAGCCTCTGACCAACACCGGCACCCCCTGTGCCAGAGGTGGGGCCAGGGGCTTAGCCCTGACATGGGCAAATGGAGGAGCCGGAGTGTGTGAATGCGGCTGGGGGTGGGTGGGACGAGGCCAGCTGCTGCCCTGACAGGCCACGCTGAAGAGAGGACAGGCCCGGCCCACGGGGCGCCCTGGAAACACCGCGAGGGGCTGGGGACCACGGCACGGCCACTGGCCAGACGGAGCCGAGCCCGTCGGCAGGACCAGGGGCCACCCGCACGGCAGAGGTCGGAGCACCTGGTCCCGCCGGCCCTGGGGTCCGTTCTGGGAGCTGCTGGCAGCCATTCCCCAGGAGTGTTTGACAGGGAGACGGGAGTGAGTCTGCTGGACCCTCACAGCACCGTCCAGTTTGCAGCTGGAGGAGCAGAGAAGGAACGAGGTGGCCGAGGAGTCACCGAGGGGGAGAGGCTTCTCGTCCCTTCGTAAGCAGAGCTGTGTCTCTCCTCCCCGCACTAAGCGTGGCTTTTTAGCTGGACATCTGCTTGGCTTTTGCCTGTCTTTCCACTAGACTAGGGGTGTCGAACTCAATCAGAGAAGGGGCCAAAATCTAAAATCCAGCCTAAATCACGGGCCGAATGGTTTACTGAACAGTCATAAACTGTCATTGTGATGGAAACGCAGCGGAGTGCAGTGATGACAGCGCGGTGCGGGCCACATTGCAAGGCCTGGCGGGACGGATTTGGCCCGCGGGCCTTGTGTTTGACACATGTGCACTAGACCATCAGCCCTGAGAGGGCAGGGGCCAGGTCTGTCTGGCCCGTCACTGTAGGCCAGCACCTAGCAGGGCCCGCCATAGAGGAGCCCTCAGAAAGTGCGTGCTGAATGAATGAATGAATGAATGGATGAACGAACGGATGGATGGATGGATGGACTGATGGACGGACGGATGGTGAGGGAACCGTTGATGTGATGGACCACAGGGTCCCAAAACCAAGGACAACAACAAGGAAATGAATAGATGGGGAGAGAGTATGTGGTCGAAAATGTGGTTTAGGGGCAGGAGTGCTCGTTAGGGTGGAGGAGTGAGGGGGTGCCTGGAAAGGGAGGCCGGAGGGATGGATCCTTCCGCTGAAGACCTGCAGGGAGAGCAGGTCCAGGCACAGGCTGTGGCCACCATGGCAACGGGAGATCAAGGGCGCTGATGGTGAAGGCTGACTGATGGACAGGTTGTCAAGAACGGAAGCTGGGGTGACGAGGGTGGCAGCACAGGGCACGGTAATCCCGGGGCACGGCAGGACTGCGCATGGATGGGGTGGGGAAGGCTGGGAACTCGGAGGGGATGGCGATAGGGTGGGCTGGGCTCGGGGGAGGGAAAAGGGCATGAGCCTGTAAGGGTTTACAAGGGGAGTCTCTGGGCTGGAAGCAGCCCTGAGAGCAGAGAATGCCCACCCTCTCTGAACCTGCGGGGGACCAGGGGCCACAGGACCCCGAGAGAGCCTGGCCTCGGCCTGGGCAGGGGGTCACGGACCTGCAGGGGGAACCTGAGGGGGAAGCAGGACCTGGGCCACACAGACGGACAGGGAAAAAGGGAGAGCCTGTGAGAGCCAGGGAAGCCGGGAAGGGAAGCCAGAGGAAGGAAGGGGAGGCGGGGCGTGCAGGAGGGACTGGGCACTGCCGCCCGCAGGCCGCTCAGCGCCCAGATGCCGTGAGAGGCCCCTCCCAAGGCCGGACGCAGGAACCACCAGGAGGAGAAAAGCTCCAAACTTGCATGTGTGGTTGCAAAACTGTGTATTTAAAAACAAAGTAAATGAACATCTCTTTAACCCCAAATAGAAAAAGATTGGAAGGAAATATGGAAAACCATCCGCCTGGTTGTTTCTGGGTAAAGAACACCTTCAGTAACTTTGTGGGTTTTTTTTTTTGTTTTGTTTATTTTTTTCAAATCTTCTGTCCCTGGTGCTGGGGCAAAGTTGGTGCTCAGTTAACATGTGGTGGATGAGCTGCTCATACAACCGGGCCGGGTGGCATGGAAACATTTAAGTGGAACACGGTCCTGCGCCCGCCCTCAGGCCTCAGGACAGCTCTTACCGGGACTGCCCTCACTGCGGCTTCCTCTGGCCGGCACAGCGCATGCCCTCCTGGGCCCGGGCGCCCCAGGCTCAGCGCAGGGACTGGGCCTGCCCTCATGCCCGGGGCTTCGCCAGGCTCTGGGGGAGGGGATGGCACATGCTGCACCCCACTGTCACATCCTGACGTGTGGTCCCCCCGAGGCCCATGCCCTGGCCCCAAGGAACACACAGTCAAGGTTGGGAGGACATAATGCCCCCTCAAGGGGTCCCGTGTGGGGAGGCTGGCTGCCAGGAGTTGTCCCTCAGAACAGAGAAATAGGTGAGAGCGCAGAGGGGGGACAGGGAGGGGGCTTAACGCATGCAAACTGCCCCTTATGCCATGGACTTGAGCGCCCCCCCATTCTTCTCTTCTCCCCCCCCCCCCCCACAGGTCCTTTAATTATCCCACAACCCTGAGGGCTGGAAAGGTCAGCTTTACACTGAGGCCAAGAGAAGGAACGCGACCGGCCCAAGGTCACATGACTAGCAAGGGACCGGGTCGGAGTGAAACCGGGCCTGGCTGGCTACCAAGCACTGTGCCTCAGGGTTCACTGAGGTAACGGCCTAGCGCCCCAGAGAAGGGCATTTTCGTGGAGGCGGGTGGGGCAAGCACGGGTGCAGGTCAGGCAGACCGGCCGCCCCCACCCATTCTGTGGAGAACACAGGGCGGGGCAGGGAGGCCCTGCAGGGCCACAGGCCCGGGGGTGAGGGGTGACAACAAACAGGGCCCGTCGGCAGGGACCGGAGGGAGGGAAGGAGCCGTAATGAGCTCCCCAGGGCCGGCCCCATGGCTCCAGGAGGCAGAGAGCAATTAGTCCCGAACACCCACCAGCCACAGCCCTGGGACACGAGGGCTGGGACGTCGGCCTCCCGGCCCCCGGAGCCTCCAGCCAGGCCAGGTGCCCAGCCTCTGCAGGAGAACCTCTGGCCGGAGACAAGCACAGGTCTGCACGGCCACAGGCCACACATCGACGACAGGCCGCCTGCAGGTGCTGGGCCCCTTTCCCTCGGTGAGAGGAGCCGCTGCACCAGCGCCCAGGGCAGGAGCAGGCCGGGGCTCCTCCCTGCCGATGATCACACCCCACTCCCCGGGGGGGGGGGGGGGGGACACAGCAGTCCCCACCAGAGGCCCCAGGATGCCCACGGCAGCAAGGACAGCTGTGGGGCTGCCGGCCAGGAGCAGGGCCCAGCTGGGCGGGAAGTGCGAGGCCAGCACCACAGGAATCCCGTGAGCCGCCTCCGTCCCCGGACTAGTCCTGACGGAGCGGAGGGTGGGGCTCAGAGGCGGGGGGACCTTGCCCAGGGATCAGAAAAGGTGGTGGGAGCCCCGAGGACAGCGCTCCCCGAGAGCACAGTGCAGGGCCCAGCCCTGTCCAGGCCCAGAGGCCCGCATGTGGCTCTCCGGCGCCCCCAGGGCACCCATGTCTGCGGGCTGAGCCTTTGCAAGGACCCTTCAGCCTGAAGCCACCCTCCACCCCCACAGGACCATCGGGGGCCGGGCTCCGGGGATGGCCGCCCTGGGGCGGCTGTGGAGAGTCACACTCCATTCAGAAGACATGACAGCGGGGCCCCACCGGTCCCAGCCTCAGCCGAAGGCACAGCTCCCTCCGATGGCTGATGAGAACAAACCCACTCTGCTCCCGGTTGTACGGGTAACAATTCCCAGGTAAGCAGGATAGGAATGGTCCGAACACTGGTAATGCAGCCACTGCTCACAGAGCCCCGCGCCAGGCCTCCTCCCACCCTCACGTCTCCCCCAGGGGCAGCCGCCCGATAACCGACTTTCCATAAAGCCAGATGGTGAGCCGGAGGCTGGCACCTGAGCCTGTAAGACTGAGGTGCCCGGTGCTCTTACGCCCCTCCAGGAAGAGCAGAAAGGGCAGGGATGAGGACGGGGCAGTGACTTGTAACTGGCTGGCATGGAACCCGGGGGTGAACCCCTGTGGATAGTTCTTTAGAGAGCACAAGCCCCCCGCTGCTCCAGCTCCCAGGCCTCCCTAAGGGCTGCACTGCCGACTGCTGCCACCAGGGGGCGAAGGGTAAGGCCCAGCGCCCGTGTTTTCCAACCTAAACCCTTGGGGGACACAGGTCCAGAACATCAGCCGTGACTCACGGCTAACTGCCCCTGAACCGGGGAGTGACTGAGGCCCAGAGGAGGTCACGGCTGGGCGTATCTTACAGCAGGTTCTGGCAGGGGTCTCCGAGCCCCAGGGAGAGGGCTCTCCCCACCGCACATGGTTCAGGCAGCTTCCACATTTCGCAAGTACAAATGTCCAGCCAAATGGCCCAGGGACACTGCGGGCCCCACCGCGGGGGGGGAAACACACCAGAATCCCTGAGGGAGCAGGTTCCCAGGCGCTGCCCAGGGACCGTAGGCTGGCGGTGAGGGGAAGGCGTCTAACAGTCAGCCCATGCTGGAGGCCGGCCGCACCTCCCACTGCAGATCCGTGCGGGCCCAGGCTGGGCTCCCTCTCCCCCGCTCCCCCCCTGCCCCCCAGGCCTCACCTTCTGCCACAGCGACTCTCGGGAGGCCAGCGACGAGCAGGCTGCCACAAACCAGCAGTTGCCCACCTGGCCCTGGTGCAGGTCATGAGAGCTGATGCCGTCCACGAAGAGGCGGGGGTCCTGGCAGATCTCCTGGGGAAGCCGACAGGAGGCCTCGGTGTTAGTGTAAGATTCGCTGGTCTCCCCCTGCAGGCTGCCCCCCTCCCCCGCATGGCCGGTGGGTTTCCCCACGCCAGCTTCCCCCAGAGCTCCCGGAAGGCCCTCCCCGCTTCCCCTGGCTGAAGAACCGTTCGCTGCCAAAGGCGGGTGAGTGAATTCCGTGGAAGGGCTTCGGGGTCCGGGCCCTGGGCCACCCCCTTTCTCCTGCCCCGGGTCTTCCCTGACCAGCACGTCCTGCTCCAGCACCGGCAGCCCCCACGTGCCCACGGCCATGAAGCCGCGCGAGGGCACGGGGGGAACACACCCAGAGCACACGTGCTGAGTGCAGAGGGCGGGAGCAGCAGGAGCTGACGTGAGGCAGCATGCCCCCTGTGGGCACAGCCTCGACTGTTTAGTCTGACCCTCCCTCCTCCCTCCCTCCCTCTGCCTCAGAAGTATGACATCAGCCAAACCAGGCTTGGCTCAGTGGATAGAGCCTCAGCTTGGGGACTGAAGGGTCCCGGGTTCGATTCCAGACAAGGGCATGTACGTTGGTTGCGGGCACATCCCCAGTAGGGGACGTGCAAGAGGCAGCTGATCAATGTTTCTCTCTCATTGATGTTTCTAACTCTGTATCTCTCTCCCTTCTTCTCTGTAAAAAATCAATAAAATATGTTTAAATATATATATATATATATTTATATATACATACATACATATATATATATACACACACACACACACACACACACACACACATATATATATATATATATATGGAAGTGTGACATCGTCATCCCATTTACAGATGAGGAATGAAGGCTCAGAGAGGGGCAGCGGCTGGTCAGGGGCACACAGCAAGCAAAGGCCAAACCAAGCTGAGCAGACTCCCACACACTCCCAGAGCCTGCCTCAGCCCCCCCTCACCCATCAGCATCTTCACCCCCACCTGCTCCCCAAGGACGGCCGGCCACAACGGGTGGTAGGAGGGAGGGAAACACTAGGACAGACTTCCCGGTGCCAGGCACGCTGCTGGCACTGTAATCAGTCCTCCCCGTCGTCCTTAGAGGCGGGATGGTGCTCATTTCACAGAGGAGCACACGGCGGCCCAGGAAGTGGGACGATGCCCACCACACAGCATGGGCCTGCCTCCAGGTCAGCAGGTGAACTCCGGAGCCAGCTCAGCCAACACAGAGCTACTCAGGTCCTACCGGAGTCAGCCAGCAGAGGGTTGAGAGTCCGGAAGTCAGAATTCAAATTCTTGCTCCCCCCGTCCCCCCCTCTTATTTACCATTGGCTGTGCAACTCTGGGCCAATGGCTCAACCTCTCTGAGCCCCTGTTTCCTGCCCTGTGCAAAGGAGGTGGGGGAAAACGGGGCAAGGGGCTGTCCCTTCCCACTAAGGTGTTGGGGAGCCCTGTTGCCACCTCTGCCTGGGAAGAGGGGTGCTCTGCAGGGCCAGACGGAGGCCAGGACTGCTCTGAGGATGTGAGTGGCTCCAGACGGGGCAGTGGAGTGGCCAGTTTGGGGGCCAGCTGCACAGACGGCAGGAACGCTGCCCCAGGTCGCAGGAACCCAGCGAGGCAGCACCCGGAAGTCTCACCTCCCTTCCCGCTGCCTCCTTATCTTCCCTCCCAGGCAGCACTCGGAGCCCGGCTCCCTGGGCCCAGCAAGGCCAGCAGGACGGGGTGGAGGGGGCTTCCTGTCTGGATGGCGCAGCCGCAGCCGCAGCCACAGCCCAACGGGAAGAGACAGCCGCAGCCTGGCGTCTCCAGGCCTGCAGCAGAGGCGGCTTCCCAGGCGCTCCTCCGTCAGATCCTCCAGAGCCCCGGACAGAGACACGACTGCCCATCCCACAGCGGGGGACACCGAGCCCAGGAGGGGGCGATGGTGCTCAAGTCACCAGCCTAGTAAGCGGACCAATGGACAGAACCCAGGTCTGCGGGCTCCCACCCAGAACTCTGCTCCCCACAGCAACAGACGGTCTCAGCCTGGCCCTTCCTTCCCCCCAACACCCCCCACCACCACCACCGCCAGAACAGGGCTCCGGCTCCAGACTTTCCGGGGGGGAGGGGCAGAGAGAGAGAGAGAGAGAGAAAGAGAGAGAGAGAGAGAGAGAGAGAGAGAGAGAGAGAGAGAGAGAGAGGGGGCATGCACTCAGGAGTCAGGAGGCCTGGGTTCCAGGCCCAGCATTGCCCTGACTGTGGCAGAAAGGGGTCCTGGGAGGGGCAGAGAGGAGGCGGAGGTCCGGGAGTGCTCCCCCTGCTGGAGAGGTTGTTCACCGGCCTCACCCAGAGAAACCACTGGAAGGTGGCAGCACCCGGGCCCGGAGGCCATCTGGGCACCCTGAACGGAACCATCACAGGAAATGCTCACAAGGACTGGGAACCCGCCCAGAACAGTCCGGCGAGAGGGGCACGGAGCACCTCCGCTTCACAGACGAGGAAACCGAGGCACAGGGAGGTTAAGTCACGTGCTCAGAGCCACACAGGAAGAGGTGAGCTGGGAGCCCCGCTCAGGCAGGCAGCTCCAGAGCCTGCAGGCGGGCTGCGAGTTATGGGTGCCAACGCCACCCGTCAGTCACTGGTCCCCTGCACATGCCCTTAGCCTAGCTTGGGGGGTCTCACTACACAACAACGAGACCTAGGGGTCAGGGGCAGCCCAGGCCCCCACTCACCTCCACAGCGGCCAGCGGCCGGGCGCAGGCACAGAGCTGGCCGGGGAGGCCCCCGCCCACACCCAGGGCCCTTGACGAGGAGGAACCCTCAGTCTCCACGAGCGCACAGCTGTGACAGCCGAGCCCAGAGAGATCCGGGGAGGCTGCCTGGAGGTGGCCGCCCCGCAGAGCGGGCACAGAAAGCCCTGGTGGGCACGGAGGCTCCGGAGGGGACTGAGGAACACAATCCCCCCAAACACGATTGTGCCACAGCCTCAAGACAGCCCCCGCCTTCGCCGCCATCCTCCCCCAGGCTCCGGGCCACCTGTGCTCCCTCCCAGGGCTGGGCTCGGGCAGGAGCCCTGGAGGGAAGGCGGGCAGGACCAGACCGACAGGCCCCTGCTGTGAGCCCTGGGCTGGCCGGGCCCTCTCCGGGGCTCCGCCTTCTGCACCTGCGGTGACCTCTCAGCCCTCCCAGTCCTTAGACCAGTTCCACCGACACAGGTCACTGCCCACAACCACCCCCCTTGGCGGCAACAAGAATGTCTGTCGGTCTGCAGGCCCGGTGTGCACACAGGAACGCAGCTGGACCCGGGCACCTCCACGCTCCTCCCTCCCCTCCGCGGGCACTCACCGCCCCCAGTCACCTCCCCCCGAGTCTAAGAACACAGCAGGAGCCCTGGCCGGTGTGGCTCAGTGGATAGAGCGTCAGCCTGCCGACTGAGGGGACTGGGGAGTCCCGGGTTCGATTCCGGCCAAGGGCACATGCCTGGGTTGCGGGCTCGATCCCCAGTGGGGGGTGTGCAGGAGGCAGCCGGTCAGTGATTCTCTCTCGTCATTGATGTTTCTCTCTCTCTCCCTCTCCCTTCCTCTCTGAAATCAATAATATACATAACAAAGCGGGAATCAACCAGACAAACTGGGTAACCGGCTGAGAAGGGCAGCGGGACCTCTGCCTGGAGCAGGAAACCGGGCAGAGTCCTCAGGGTTATAGCTCGTCCTTCCCACCCCCCATCCCTGCAGCAGACTTGCCCCCCACCCCATGCCCCACAGCGATCCCATGCCCGATGCCACGAAGGGGAGCGCCCGCGGGCAGGGCAGAGGCCCGGGTGCTGGCCTGGGTGCAAACCGCCCACTTCGTGGCGTGAAGGGCCGTGTTCAGCACGGCCAGGGGAGGGGGCCAGAGCCCGGCCTGGGGCTGGGCACCAGCAGGCCACCCCGGGAGAGTGCTGGGAGGTTCCCAAACTAGTACTGTTTGTAGAACCCCTCCCGGCGCCCTTCTGGGTCCCACCGAGGTGCCTGCAGGCTCCTCTGCGGAGAGGGGGAGGCAGGGTGTTGGCTAGAGAGTGGGGGGCACTCTGCCTCCTCAGGGATGAGAAGGGGCCCCTAGTAAAGGCTCTGGGCCTGAGGGAGAAGGAAGCACACCCCCTCTGCATGGGGATCCCCGAGTCACAGCTGACCTCCCCTTCCCCTCTCATCTCCCCACCTGAGCCAGCAGGTGTTCACTGAACTAAAGGAACAATGAATCTGAGGAGAGGAGGAGGAGGAGGAGGAGGAGGAGCAGGAGGAGGAGGAGGAGGAGGAGCAGGAGGAGGAGGAGGAAGAGCAGGAGGAGGAGGAGGAGGAGGAGGAGGAGGAGGAGGGCCAAGGCAGGTGCCCTGGGTGGGGCACCCTGGAGGGGGACTGGAAGGACCAGGCCGGCTGCCGAGCCCAGCAGAGATGGGCCTTTGTAGGCAGGCCCAGCCCGGGGTCCCCGGCAAAGGCCCACCAGGCGGGGAGGGAGGGAGCCAGTTTGTCCTCTGCCCAAAGGGTCCGTGAGAATTACTCTCCCGTTTACAGGTGAGGCGACTGAGGCCCAGGGAGGGGAAGGGCTGAAAACCGGCCGGCTCACTGCGATCTGGAGAAAGGCGGGGGGGGGGGGGGGGGGGGGGGGGCGCGGGGGTGCTGGCTGAGGAGCCCCTTCGGGAGCCGGAGGCCGCGGGGCCCGCACTGGCAGAGGAGGCGCTGGAGGCGCCTGAGAGAGAAGAGGGCCTCCCGGGCGGTCGGGAAAGCCGGCTTTCACTCTGTTTGTAAACAGGCAGGTCACAGGACCAGGAAGTGGGATTCCACAGCAGCTGCCCTCCTCCCTCTGGCCGAGGGCCAAGCAGCAGGGAGTTCACGGTCACCCTGCTGGGCCGTCCCACCCCAGTCCCACCCCACCCGCCTGGGGCAAGCCCGGCCCAGCTTCCTGCCCCACCAGCCCCATCCTGTCAGGGGGTGAGAGCCTGCCCGGGACACAGGCCCGTCACACCCTGGTCCCCAGGTTCTCCCCTCCAGCACCCCTCAGTCAGGCCGGGCCTGGAGCTGACCTCGATCGAGGCCAGGCGGCTCAGACACGGCCCACTCCGTGCCGACCCCCACATGCCTGCGCCGGCCCCACACCCGGCCCCGTGAGGAGGGGGGTGGACGAGGAGGCGGTGTGGCCGGGAAAGAAAGCAGCCCAGAGAGGGCAGAGACTCCGCCAGGGTCACACAGCAGGCGGGTGCTGAGCCTGCCCGCCTGGCACTTCCTCCTCTCAGGGCACCGAGCCCAGACTTCCCCAGGCCGGCCTCACCAGCCTCCTTCCCGGCCACGGACCGGCCATGGACCAGCCACGGACCGGCCAGGACCGGCCACGAACCGAAAATGTCGGGGTGACGGCAGGAGAGCGGGAAAGGGTCAGGATGGCACAAAGGGTGGAGTGAGCGCCAGTGTCCCCCCTCCTCCTCTCACCCAGGCCTCACAAAGGCCCTTTGAGACCCGCTCCTTCCCCAGCAGCAGACAAAGGCGCGAGGCGTGGGAGCGGTGGCCCAGAAGCAGGAATCCTGTGGCTGAGCCAGGAGGCCCTGGGCGCTCTGGAGAACCAGGGCGGGCCCGGGATTCCAGCGCGGCTCCCGGCTCTCGGGCTGAGGTCTGAGGCGGCACGGGCCCTTTGTCTGCTGCCGGGGAGAAAAGGGGGGCGGGGGGGCTGGGAAGGCAGGCTCCTGGGTCCCGGCCCAGCTCTGCTGACAGCTCGCTGGACACTCCGAGCACCCACCTCCCCCTCCCAGCCTGTTTCCCTTCCTTGTTCCATCTAAGGAAATACACAGGATTTTTTTTTTTAATACATTTTTATTGATTTTTTTACAGAGAGGAAGAGAGAGGGATAGAGAGTTAGAAACGTCGATGAGAGAGAAACACTGACCAGCTGTCTCTTGCACACCCCCTACCAGGGATGTGCCCGCAACCAAGGTACATGCCCTTGACCGGAATCGAACCTGGGACCTTTCAGTCCGCAGACCAACGCTCTATCCACTGAGCCAAACCGGTTTGGGCAGAAATACACAGGATTTTCTGAGTTAGCGGGGACTGGAGATCACGTTCTAGAAGAGGAATGTGAAAACTAAACTTCACTTCCCTGCAGAAACCGGTTTGGCTCAGGGGATAGAGAGTCGGTCTGTGGACTGAAAGGTCCTGGGTTCGATTCCGGTCAAGGGCATGTACAATACATTGGTTGCGGGTACATCCCCAGTAGGGGGTGTGCAGGAGGCAGCTGATCAATGTTTCCCTCTCGTCGATGTTTCTAGCTCTCTATCCCTCTCCCTTCCTCTCTGTCGAAAATCAATAAAATATATTTAATAAATAAATGAATAAATAAACAAATAAACTTCCCCACACGTGCAGGTGTCAGAGGGAACTTTCCAGGGCTAATCCGACCACACCCTCCACAGAGCATGTGTGTGTGTGTGTGTGTGTGTGTGTGTGTGTGTGTCGTCGTCGTCGTCGTCGTCGTTCCCCCCCCCCACCCCCCCGCTGGCCCGGCCTCAGCACACCGCCCCAAGGACCAGGACCCAGCCTCCGCCTCCCCCCCTCCCCGCCCCCCACCGCCGGCCCAGGCGCTGCCCCCTCCCAGGTGCGCCTGGCGGGAGTCCCAAGCCCCTGTCTTCTCTCCGCGCCATCAGCCGCGCAGCCCTCCCCGGCAGGCGCCTTCTCTGGTTCCTGGGCAGCGGGCGTCTCCTCCCGGCCCCACGCCCTCGGCCCGGCTCCGTCTCTGCACCCGTCCCTCCTGGGGACCCACCCCCACGGGGACCTCCCGAGCCCCCATCACCTCGGCCCCGAGGACAGCCGCCCTCACACTGGGGAATGGAGGTGACAGCGAACGGAATCGAGCCAGGAGGCCAACACGTCCGCCCGCCACGTCCCAGCCTCAGCCGGCCCCCGGCCCGGAAGCAGCCAGCCAGACGCCGGTCCCTCGCCCTCCCCACAAGGGAGGGTAAGAGCCGCCTGGACTGAGGGTAAGAGCTCCCGGGCTCCGTCTCTTTAACGCTCACAACAGCCCTAGGAGGGGCTGTTAGTGTTTACCACTGTCGTTATTATTGATTAATCATCATAATAAGTACTTGCCATTTACAGCCAAGGGCTATTTCAAAGTCATTATGAATATAATCAGCAACGTGTATGCCTTGCTCTTGGGATGACACTAAATGGGACTTACACGTCACTTACGCCTGAATTTCACTAAGGAAGGTCACATCACCTCTTTTTTTTTTTTTAAGTTTTTTTTTCTTTATATATTTTTATTGATTCTTTTTACAGAGAGAAAGTGTGAGAGATAGAGAGCTAGAAACGTCAATGAGAGAGAAACATTGACCAGCTGCCTCTTGCACACCCCCTACCGGGGATGTGCCCGCAACCAACGTACATGCCCCTGACAGGAATCGAACCTGGGACCTTTCAGTCCGCAGACCGAGATCAACTCATTTTTATCCCAACAGGGACCCTGGGAGTCCTGACAGGGCAGAGGGGATTAGGGCCCATTCTCCTGGCACCTTTTCCCTCCTCCCCCCCTCCCCCGGCCCCCACATCAAACTCCACAGCAGGAGGGCCCAGCATCAGCCCCTCCACCATCTCAGCCACCTCCGGCCTCGGGATGACGCCCCGCGCCCCGCGCCCCGCGCCCCTGGTGGCCCCGCCTGTGGCCTGGGCTCCGGTGCAGACCCGACACTGACCTTGGGCCGCTTCCACCGGACGCCGGGCCCCGGGCTGCCCTTGTAGTACAGCGAGTCGTCGGTGGCGGGGAAGTTGGGGTCTTCGAAGAGCACCTTCCGGCGCCGGCAGGCCCGCTTCAGCGCCGCGTAGTTCTGCTCCTCGTAGGGCTTCACGCAGGAGAACATGGTGGCCGCCGCCCGGGGAGGGCGGGCCGAGGCGAGGCGGCAGAGGGCGGCGCGGGCGGCCCCGGGGGCCCCTGGGAGGACAGAGGGAGGGGGTCATTGGTGTCCGAGGACGGGAGGCCCTGCGTCAGGTGACCCCCGTCTGCCCCTGAAAGGGCAGAGCAAGGCTGTGAGCAGAACTTCCCTCTGTGTTGAAGAGCCAGCCCTAGGTGCACTGAGTGGTTATCTCGATGCCGGCCTGGAAAGCAACACAGGTCTATTCAATCGAAAAAATGCACCTGGCATGGCATTGAGAGTATGGGCATATCTAGTCTCTGGCCTACAAGGTCACATAGCTGAGTTTATCTTCAAACAGGCTGAAGCAGGCTAGAAAGCAAGCGTTTTTTAAACAGCAGTTTTTTTACAAAATAGTTCCAGTTGCCTAGTCCACCCGTAGGAATGCAGAAGGCCAAATAAGCTAACCACATCCAGCCACCTGTGTACCTGGGCCCTGGCCCTCACCCCACCACCCTGTAGTACAGTGAGTCATCGGTGGCGGGAAGAGGACAGCCCTATAAAGAAGCTGGACCCTGAGAACTCAGGTCTCTCCGAATCCTGCCCCTGCCTCGGTAGAGGCGGAGAGACCGGGCTCGAGCTTGAATAAAGGCTCTTTGCTTTTGCATCCGACTCGGCTCCCTGGTGGTCCTTGGGGATCTTGAAATCTGGGCAGCACACCCCTCCCTGCAGCCCTGTGAAATGGGCATCCTCACTCCCACTGGCCAGGAATGAAGGCTCAGAGAGGGAGAGAGACCTGCCCAGGGTCCCACAGCAAGTACACACAGAGCAGGAAGAGGAGCCAACTGGCCTGACCCCATAGCCTGAATTCTCTCATGTCTGATGCTTAGAGGTGAGACCAGGCCAGCAGGCCAAGGGCACAACCACATGGTGCTCGGGGGGCTGCCAGCGGCACCCACCCCCTCTTCCTCTGTCTCACCAGCCTTCCCCAGACCTCCCAGGCTGGCGCACCCCCCAGAAAACAGCAGCACGGTCCCCACGGCCCTCCTCCCGCCCCGCCCCTTCCCCTAGAGTGGCACAAGCTGGCCGAGGGGAAAACCGGGGCCCAGGCCCCTCCAGCCTCATTCACATTCACCCCTCTGCCCCTCCCTCCAGCACCTCCGGGATAAATGTCTTCAGTTCTCATTGCTCCTTCATCCCGGGGCCTAACCCCCCTGAGGGCCCCCCTAATTCCCCATCACGTGGCCTCCCAGTCCCCACAGTCCGACTCTCCCGGACAGCCTCTCAGACCTCAGAGTCTGCCACTCCTCAGCAGCCCCTCCTCCTGGGCTTCGGGGTCCCTCCCCTGTCTCTGGCCTCTCCTCCCCTAAGAGGGGCCCCCGGGGCCTGCCTGCTCACTCCTGCCTCCCCGGCTGGTGACCCCTGTGCTCCGTCCGGACACCTGTTCTAGGCCCCTGGCTGGCCCACTCCCTGTGAGAGCCAAGGGCCCCTTAGCGGTACCAATCCCAATCCCAACTCCTCATCTCACCCCCCACACCCCGACTCCCAGCCAGGGAATGGACCACAGGCACCCAGAGACCGGAAGCCCCAGCAGGCGGGCGTGCTGGGTCTGGGCTCCTGCACACCTCAGCCTCCTCCCTCCCGCCCCTCGAGTCCGGGTGGACCCTGCCCGGCGCCCTGACCCTCGTAGCTATGTCCCAACCAGACTTGAGGACGCGGGCTGGACCGACAAGGCAAGACCTCCGGGCGGGAGGGCGGGGTGAGGAGCGACAGACCCCCTGACAGATGCTCCGAGAGCCGGGCCCGCCACTGACGGCCCCTGGACGTCCATCCGGACTGCCGGCAGCGCTCCACAAGCCCCCAGCCTGCTCACCCCCACGGAGGCTCAGCTTCCGGCCTCCAGGGCAGCTGAGGGAAACTGAGGCAAGGAAGGCTGGCTTCTGAGAGCAAGACTGATGCGGGCGCCAGTCCCAGCTGTACTCCTCACCGGCTGTGTGGCTTCAAACAAGTCCCTCACCCTCTCGGGGTCCCCATTCTACTCTCTCCGCAACGGGAACAATAACCGCCTCAGTAACTGGGAGATATAACTAACCAGAGGCCGAGGACACCGCTTAGTGGACCGGGGAGCGGGGTGGAGAGGAAGGAGAAGGGAAGTGGGCAGGCTGCCTCTCATTTCCGAGAGAGAGCCCCCTTCCTCAGGCACCTCCCTCGCGCACACTGTCCGGCCACGCACACGCAGAGAAGCCGTATGGGAATGGCATTGGCAAACAGAAATGCTGGAGGGGCCTTTTACGGTCTCCATTTTTCAGACAAGAGGACGGAGGCTCCTGACGGGAGGGGACTTGCCCACGCCCCACGGCAGAGTCTGACTCAAAGCCGTTTCCTCTGACTTTGGTGCCCCCACCTCGGCCCGGTGACCCCACAGGCAGGAGGAAGGCCGAGTCCCAGGCAGGGCGGGCTCACCCCACACCCGCCGGCTGCGCCAGCCTCCCGGGGAGGGAAACGGGGATCCGCGGGGAAGGGAGGAGCCGGAAGGAGAGGGGTGAGAATGGGCGAGGAGTGTGGAGCACGATGGACAGCACGGAGAGCGGGAGGGCTGAGAATGGGTTTGCCCTCTGCACGGGACCCACAGCCATTTCATTGCACCGGCTCCCACCCAGCCTTCCTTGGAGGCCTGCAGGAAAGGGGGGCAGGAGCGGGGCGGGGGGTGGGGGGTGAGAGCTGGGGCGCCTGTCCCTGGGCCTCTGGCACACCGCCGCCCGGGAGTCATTAGCAGCGTGGCTTCCAGTTCTGCAGGGCCTCTCAGGAAGCAATTTAAGCTGCGAGAATTAGATCAAAGGAGCTGGAGGCAGGCGCCCAGGCATCAGCTCCTGCAGCTCCAGAGCTCAGAGCCCAGCGGGCCCAGGCAGCGGGAGCGAGCTGGCCGGGGCCACACAGCCGGGCGGCTGGAGGAGGAGGAGGCTGCTGGCGGCCCTCCAGGCACACAGCAGCCAGTGCTGCTGGGAACGTTTGCTCCTGGGGAGGACGGAGCGAGTGGGGCGGTGGGGGAGGGGAGGGGAGGGGAGGGAAGGGGGCTGCTCAGCTGGGCCGGGCCTGGGAGAACCTGGGCCAGCCTGGCTGCTGAGTCTGACCTAGTGCAGCCACCTCTCCGGCCTCAGCCCCGCCAGCAGGCTGACCCTGGCCTACTTACGCCAGCTGGTCTGGCCCGGCCTCTGCACAGGCAGCGCCTCACGCTGACTACCCTCCTGCACCGCACTCCGCATTTGCCCCAGGGTCATGTCCTCCTCCATCCATTGAGTCAATAAGTCAATACCCCAGGGGTCACAGAGCCACCCGCCCCTGAACTTTGCCCTCTCCCCCGCAGTTCCAGGCAGAAGCACAGAGGCCACGGAGAAGCCAGAGGTAGGAAAGCCAGGCCTCCCGGCCGGAGCTGCAGGACCACGGCCCTGCCTGCCTTCTGTGTGAGCCAGGCACCAGCAGGATCCTTCCCCATGGCCCTTCCTCCTGCCGGCCCTCACCCCTCCGCCTCGGCCAGTCTCACCCACCCTCCGCCAGGCCCCACCTCCGTCCAGGGGTGCGAGCTCCTTCCAGCCCCCAGCGCTGTTCACTCAGGGCCTCTGCACACACAGCTCCTGCCACACGAGCGTGCCCCGAGGACCCGCCGCCTGAGACTCAGCCTCGTACCCCCGCCCCCCCCAACCTGCCTCCGACACTCTCCTCCCTCCGCCATCCTGGAACCCCCGAGACAGGCTCCCTATGTGGTACCCCATCTTCGTACGGCTTGTCCATCTCCCCAGCCCAGCTTGTGCTCCTGCGGGACAGGGGCCCTGCCCAGCTGCTGCCTGTTTCCCAGGCCCCACCATCGCGGGCACATTTAGTAACATTCACTGAATGAACCAGCACAGGTGACACAGGAGCAATTCCTTCACTGATGGGAGCGCAGGCTCCCGGGGTGGAGGGACTCCGGGGGGGGGGGGGATCAGCTTTCCTTGTCAGAGCAGCACCAGCTCTCAGGTCTCCCGAAGCCAGGGCCCGCCCTTTCCCCGGGCCAGGCCTCCCTCTCTCCTCCCCTCCCCTCCCCTCCTGGTGGCTGTGCTCAGCGGTGGCCCAGCCTCTCTCTGCTCCTGACGGAGCCTGGGCGTTAGTTCCCAGGCTCTCTCAGCTGTGGGATCCTGGGCAGGCCATGTGGCCTCACCGCCGGCATGTCCCGGTCAGGAAGGAAGAGATAACGTGCCAGGCCCCTGGAGGGGCAAACGAGACGCGGACGCAGCAGGGAGCAGTGCCTGGTGCACGTGAATGCACGGAGCCCGGGCACGCAGTGTCCGTGTCCGGGGCCATCTACAACTTTTCCAGACTCCGGGCAGGAGGTTACCATGCAGGGTTTCGGTCGCCGACGAACTTCATGAATACAAAAGCACGAAACGTGTGTCGTGTCAGAGGTTCCAGCTGGAGGGACACAGAGGCCGGGCCCCGGGGTCAGATGTGCTTCGGGAGAGAACCCGAGAGAAGGCTGGTGGCCCGGCCGGCTGGCTCCGTGGCTGAACATCGGCCTGCGAGCCAGGAGGTCACACGTCAGTCCCAGGTCGGGGCCCAAGCCCAGGTTGTGGGCTCCATCCCCAGTGTGGAGCCAATCAGTGATTCTCTCTCACCATTGGTGTTTCCATCTCTTTCTCCCTCTCCCTCCCCCTCTGAAATCAATAAAAATATATGAGAGAGAGAAGGGGAGAGAGAGAGAGAGACAGAGAGACAGAGAGAGACAGAGAGAGAGAGAGACAGAGAGAGACAGAGAGAGAGAGGGAGAGACAGAGAGAGACAGAGAGAGAGAGACAGAGAGAGACAGAGAGAGAGAGGGAGAGACAGAGAGAGACAGAGAGAGAGAGACAGAGAGAGACAGAGAGAGAGAGGGAGAGACAGAGAGAGACAAAGAGAGAGAGACAGACAGAGAGACAGAGAGAGAGAGGGAGGGAGGGAGGGAGGAGGCTCACACAGGAATGTGCAAAGCCATTCAGACCCAGCGAGCACAGTGGGGCCTGGGACCGAGCACAGGGAACTGAGCTGGGCCAGAAGGAGGCAGCTCGGA